TTCCCCTCTTCTTCCCCTTCTTCTTCTTCTTTTTCTTCTTCTTCTTTTTCTTCTTCTTCCTCTTCTTCTGACCCGTCTTCCGTTCACCGAAACCGGCTTGCCGCTGACCTTGCCCCCCCCCTATCAATGGCGCAGTGGTCTTGTGTTGCTGGTCCACGCCTGGGAAGCTGGAGAGATGGGCACTGGCGTGCTCAACGTGATCTCCCTGCTGGTCTGGGTTCTCCTCGGACTGGGTACCGTTTGACAGACATCACACACACACACACAACACACACACACACACAACACACACACACACGGCACATATGACATGCACGACTAACAGAGTGGTGCCACCAGCCTCTTCGTGGGTGCTGTTCCTCATGTGGCGAGGCTTCCGGGCGGCCCAGGCCTCCGGCGTGCAGCCCCGCGCCAAGAGTACCGAGGGCACCTCCATCGGTATAGTATCCAACTCAATGAAGATCTTTTTTTCTTCTAATTATTATTGTTGTTTACTTGATAATATTTCATTTATTTATTATCATTAAATATATTATTATTTCACCAGAGGACGACGATGCCACGGACACGTTCATCGATGTGGAGGAGGAGGCGGCGCAGGCCAAGGCCAAGGAGTCGGAGGGCGTCGCGTCGTCGTCGGGCTTCTCGAGCTGGGGCGTGCCCGCCAAGCTCAACCTCTCCCTGCCCTCCGGCATGCGCCGGGAACGCCCGGCCGAGGCCGCCCCCGCCCCCGCCGCTGCCGAGACTCCCTACATGCCCGCGGCCGCCTCCGCTGCCGGCCTCAAATACGACCTGCCCACCAACTTCCTCGAGTAGAACCTCATCATCACCGCCATCGACATCATCATCGTCATCTTCAGAAGCAACAACAACGCCACAAAGGTCGTTTTGTGATCTGTTTACTTGGGTCGCTGTAGTTGTAGTTGTCGTGGAGGTGGTGGCGTGAGTGCGTGGTGCGCGGTGGTAGACGGCGGCGGCGGCGGGAGCAGGTGGAGGGAGGCCAGGCCGGGCAGCCCGCCCGAGCCGTAGGTGGCCCACGTTGGAAACGCCATCATCGGCAGCGACGACAATGACGACATGGCGTAGAACGGCGAAGCAGAAGAAGAAGAAGAAGAAGCGAAAGGCGAGGAGGCGGCAGACCACGGCCAATGCGTCGCAGCAGGGGAGGAGGAGGAGACCGCCATGGGAGGACTGAGCGACGGTGAACTCGAGGCGGACGAGGAGATGACTGCGGCCGCGTCGGCGAGCGAGGACAAGAGCAGCGGCACCGACGGCAGTCGAGCCATGTTGGGCCTGACCCGTTCGCTGCTGGTCGTCGTGGTGGAGGTGGTGGTCGTGGTCGGCTCGTGATGGTCGAGGCGCCTTCGCTTGGGCTCGCGGGGATCTTCCCAGGTGGGACGTTGTGGCGGCGGCCCGGCGGCCCGGCGGGGAGAGCCGGCCATGGGCGGCGACGCCGGCAATGGCGAAGGCGCAGGCGACGGTGATGATGAGCGCGAGATGGGAAAGGGCGATGGCGAAGGTGGCAGGGACGGCGTGAACGATCGTGATGACGACGGTGGTGATGGCGAAGCTGCGAATGAGGAGGGCGAAGAACAACGACGTGAAGGTGGCGTCGTTATGGGACGTTTGTACATGGCGGTGACGCTCTCGTGTAGCGAGTTCTCGTCTCCGCCCTGCGCTCGGTAGGCCTGGGCGTAGCACCCCCCAATAGGCAGGCATGTCAGGCACGTGGGCTCAGCCGTAGAGGGGGGGCTCCGTACGTGGATGAGTTGCATGATCTTGAGCTGCAGACCGACCCCATTGCCCGCGTACTTGCCGTCTGCCTGCTTCTCGGCCTGGTCTGGCTGGTCGCTTCCCCTCTCCTTCACACTTTTCACCGCCCTCTCTGCCCAAATATATTAATATAAAAAAAAAATATACACGTGAAATATACAGTGTAGACAGCAGGTGGCGGGCCATGTACCTATTTCCTGGGCCTGGGCGAGGTACTGGAGGTGGGAGAAGACCTCGATGGGCGAAGATGTGACGGCCAGGCGGGCAAGGTCGCCCAGATCCAGGGACTTGCAGTGCAGGCGGAAGCGGAGGGCGAACTTGGTGCCATGGCACTGGCTCGACGTCAGCGTCAGCTTCACCTTGTCGAACGTGGCCTTGTACACCCCCTCGTGCCAGCCGCACTGGTTCGGTACACACACATCACGTGACCAGGAACAACATCAACATTCACTGAAGGTCCAGTTGAGTGATCAAATTCGGCCGTGTGTTGAGCCTGAAATCTATGTAACAGAATCAAGTCCTAACCCGGTTGTTGTTGATGATTGGCTGGCTATGGCACTAAAGTGGACTTGCTTGGTTTGCGCGAACGAGGCGGGAAGCTGTGGTCTTACCTTCTCTAGCCGCACCGTGGACTGGCCATCGACGCCGCGCGGCAGGGGGGCGCCGCTGTCGAGCCTCACGACCGAGGCCACCACGAACACGCCCCCGCTTGGCGTAGTCGAGTCCAGCGCAGCGTGGAGGCGCCTCAGGGACTCGCCCTCGGCCGACGACGACGAAGATGAAGATGAAGATGACGAAGAAGAAGAAGAAGATGGGTCCTCGAGCGGAGGTACGACGAGGTAGACAGAAGGGCGGGGCTTGAGGAGCCGCTGGCACACGGCGCGGGCCGGCGGCTGCACCCCGACCTGGAACAGGACGCGCTCGTCTCGTCGCGTCATCACATCCAGTAGCCCGGTGTGAGTCACCGCTTGCATCTTCTTGGTCTTTTGTATATCTTCGGCAACTCGGTGCGTGGATGGTTGTAGTTTGCGGCACAGACAACCTGCGGGGCCGGCAGTGCGGGCCAACGATCGCTGACGGCGTTATATCCACCAATGGGCGCCCTGGGCACCAAAAGATCCCACGTCCCACGCCATTGGCCCAAAATCCAGGCCTCAGGAAGACGACCACCAACCACCTCGAATAGATCCCCAGCACCATCGGCGTCCACATCAGCAGAAGCAGCAACAACGCAACAACTTGTTGTCGTTTTGTCTGCTCTCCCCTTTATTTGAATCGCAGCAGTTGTTGATGGCGTGGAGGTGGCGTGAGTGGGTGGTGCGCGGTCGACGGCCGGTTCGCAGCTGCTGCTCCTGGTCGTGCGACCATCCGCCTGATCTCGACGCCTTCACTTCAGCTCGCGAGGGTCTTCCCAGGCCTGATGGGGACAACGATGACGATGACGATGAAGTGGAAGCTGAGGTGGCGGAAGTTGACGTGGACGACCACGAACGACGCAAAGGTGGCGACGGTCCCATGGAAGGTTTGTATATGGACCGGCGGTGACACTATCGTGTAGCGAATCCTCGTCTCCGCCCTGCTTTCGGTAGGCCTGGGCACGAACACGTCGCCGCTCGGCGCACTGGAGTCCAGCGCAGCGTAGAGGCTAAGGAACTCGATCGCGACCGACAACGAAGATGAAGGAGGAGGAGAAGAGGGTGATGAAGAAGGTGGGTCCAGGAGCGGAGGTACCACGAGGTAGACGCACTCCCACCTGGAACACGACGCGCTCATCTCGTCGCGCCATCACATACAGAAGTCACCGCTTGCCTCCTTCTTCTCCCGTCTTTGTAACATCAACTGACGCCTTTATCTGATTGGTTCGAACAAGAAACAAAAATAATGCCTATTTATATCATATTTGGACAATTTATTTGTATTTTTAATTTTAATAACAAATAATAAATAAATAAATAAACTCAAGAAGAGGGAACGAAGAGGCGGAGGTCGTGCAGGAGCGTGGGAGGGAGAGCGAGGAACGGGGCGGAGGTGAGGAGCTGGGGACGGGCCGCGACCAGGGAGACGCACGCCGATCGGAGGCGCCGCGCGCCGTAGCGCTCGGCGGCCTCGAGGAGCTGGGCCACGTTGTCCTCGGCCACCGCGGCCGCCACCACCTCCTCGCAGAGCGCCTTCAGCCGCTCCAGCATGTACTCTACGCATGTACACATGATTCGCTCGATTCAGAGACACGCAGCACCGCACACGCGCACACGTCACCGCACACGCACACCAAGCTGTGCGTACCATCGGCGGCCTGCAGGAGGTCGAGAGCGTCGTCGGGCTCCACTTCGACCCTGTCCGTGTACAGAAACTGCGCACACGCACACAAACGCGGTTGGTACCACCCACCATCAGAATGCAGTCTAGTGGGAGCGGCCACCTCGACGAGCTTGCGGAAGACCGGGTAGGCGTGGTGGCCGATGGCGATCTCGCCCGACGTCGACTCGCGGAGGCCGCAGCGCAGCTGGGCCGCCAGCTTGGGGCACCGGGCCGCCACCACCGCCCGGTGCTGTAGACGACAGAGGAGGCGTTAGGCGGGGCCTAGAGAAGAAGGGCGGGGGCGGAGGTAGTATGGAGTACGGCGTGGATGCGCTGGTCGCCCACGATGAAGACCAGGTCGCTGAACTGGGGCGCGTCGAAGAAGGCCTGCATGGCCTGGCGCATGTCCGCTGCGTACGTCGAGGGCACCTCTTGCACGTAGTTGGTCTGCACCCCATTCCACACATTCCGCACGCACACGACACACACGACACACGCACATGGCACGACACGCGCGCACCAGCAGTCAGAGGCCAAGGCGCGCGGAAGAAGGGAAAGGTGATGGCGGCCTACCTCGAGGAGGAACACGTCGGCCAGGCTTTGGCCGTAGTTCTCGCGCCCGCTCCAGCCCCCGATCACCACCAACTTGGTACCTGCGTGCGTCGTTTCGCCATCGTAAGTGCGCGGCCTCATTCCGTGTGCGGCGCGTGTCGTGCGGCGTGTGTCGTGTCATGTGGCGTGTGCCGCGTCGCGTGTCGCATGTCGTGTGCCGTGACGTGACGTGTGCCTACCAAAGCGACAGCCGGCGTGGTTTCGTCGGGGGAGGGGCAGGAGGGCAGCCGCGGGAAGGGCGGGCAGAGCGAGGGACTGCGGCGAGGCGAGGGACTCGTCGGCGGCAAACTTCTGCTCAACCCACTGCAGCCGCGGGCGAAGGCACAGGCTCCACGTGTCGTTGAGCGCGAACGTCTGCCCGGCCGCCTTCGTGCGCCCTCCAAACACCACGATCGCCTCCTTTTCCCCAAACGCTGCGCACGCCACTCTATCGTGTTACACGCGTTGTGCGCACGACACACACACACGACACACACACACACACACGAGACACACGACACAAGGCCACCTTCAGGGAAGTATTCGGCGATGTGACCGGAGCGGCGCGAGATGGCAGCACCGCCCACGCGTGCTTTTTCCCACGCCTGTGCCACATTGGTGAGTGTGTGTCCGATTGCGTGCGTGCTGTGTCTCGTGTGCGTGCGCGTGCGCGTGTGCTGTGTGCGCGCAGTTGTTCTACTGCAACGCAGGGGAGGGGAGGTACCATAGGCGATCGGTCCGTATGGAGGATGAAGACGTCGTCGTAGTACTTCTTCTTGTAGTACTGCCGATCGCCCGGTCCTCGCACAGAGAGCTCGAATCCGCCGATGAAGTACACCTCGCTGCCCACCAGCGTCGCCTGTGCGGCGTGTGTGCCGTGCGTGACGTGCGTGCGGTGGCGCGTGTGCGTGCGCGTGCGGCGTGTGCGATGATGACGTCAGCACCGACTCAGGACCCGTTACTCGATAGCAGCGACGCGTCGTACGGTGTGATTGGCCCGCGGCGATGGCGGGTCGCCGGCCACGGGGCACTGGCTCCACCGGTGCGTCGCCAGGTCGAAGCTGTAGAGGTGGTTGTTGTAGTGCAGGTGGCCGCCCGTGCCGCCCCACACGAGGAGCCGGTTGTCGACGAGCGTGGTCGAGTGGAAGAAGAAGGCCGGCGGGGGGACCGTGCTGTTGTCGCCATCGCCGCCGTCCACCACTTCCACTTCGCTCCACGTCTCCGTTTCTGTGTCGAAGCAATGCACGGCCGCCAGCGACTCATCCCCTGCGTGGCCCAGTCCGTTGAGCACACCGCACACACGGCACACACCGCACACACCACCGCACGCACCGCACAACACACACGCGCAAGACACGCACGCGTGTGTGTACCTGAGGTGCCGCCGTAGATGTAGATGAGGGAGCCCACGAGCGTGGCCGAGTGGAAGGCGCGGGCCACGAGGCCATCGGTGGAGAAACGCCAGCGGCCGGTCGTCATGTCCAGCACCAGCATCTCTGCGCTGCAGGCGTGTCTGTGCGTGTGTCGTGTGTCGTGTACCACATCAGCACACACGACACACATGACGCACACGACACACGCACACACACAGCAAAGGTTTGTGGAGAGGGGGGGGGGGATGACCGGTCATCTACGCCGCCGTAGATGAAGCAGCGCGACCCGACGAGCGTGGCAGAGTGGCCCTCACCAGCTGGCCATGCGCCGCCATCGTCTTCCTCATCTTCCTCCTCGTGATCTTCATCCGTGGCGTCGTCATCTTCTTCCACTGGCAGACGCAACCGCAGGCGCTGCCAGGGACAGGTCTGCCTGCCAACGCCAGGAATCAGTTCCTCGTCTTCATCCATGGGCAGCGCGTCTTCATCTGCCGCAGGCACGGAGTCCTCCATCATTTCGTGCAGCTCCATCTGTGGCCTTATTTTATTTATTTTTTTCAAATATATTTGTGATTATGAACGAGCTCTGATGTATTTACAAATCGGAATGAAGATGTACAAGGCTGCAAGGTTGTGTCAGGAGAGGATGCAGGTGCTGTTGCGTTGAAGCTGCTCGGCCTTTCTGAGATTGCGAACTCCATCGTTCGTCGAAAGGACGGCCGCGTCGATGTTCGCCTCAATAGAATCAACCATCGGCCGCTGCTCGAGCGTCAAGGCGAGCAAGTCATTGAACATGCCGTTTATCTGCTGTACGTCCGCACAGATGGTCGCAATGGCGTCGTCTCGCTCCTCCACAACCAGCGCCATGTGGTTGATGTCGCCCCACGTCGGCTGCTGGCGCTGCTCGAGCATCTGCATCTTGTCGTTCGCTCCATGCGCCGACCGTACCGCCATCTCTCTCTCGTATGTGGTCCTCTTTCGTTTCTTCTTAGCTCAACCAGCTCTTTCCTCGTTTTGTAATCAGATTTCACTTCTTGCGTTGCTGAGCCGTTCCTTGAAGGCCGTTCCAGCTTCTGTTTCCGCCGGCCCGAAGCCACGTCAGCAAAAAGAAACATAAATAAATATGAGATGAAATTAGGAAGAAGATCAAAATATGCAAAAAATGAAGAACCTTGTTCCCGCATCTCCGGAGTAGGCGACCTCGCGCAGGCAATTTCGATCTGTACAAGATAGAAATCGAGGAGTCGTGTAATCGATCTATCTAATCACGCATACGAGGGTTCAAGGACTCGCTCATGCCTGGAGAGGAAAACGTAAAGATGGAGGCCGGCGCGGCAGATGGCGAAAACCGACCTACCTGGCCCGCACAGCTCGAGTTCAAGCTGGGCTCCAGGAAGAAGGCCCACTTCGTTGCCGGACCGGTCAGGATAAAGGTGGGCAGCAATGATGATGATGAAGGCGAGCTTGAATACACTGTCCACACGTGCCCAGCTCGCCTCGTCCCGGAAATGGTACTCCGACACTTCATCTCGATTTTCTACACATTTGCGATTCTATTGATCCTGATCGATTGCCAATGATGATTCGTTGGTGCCACGCACTTGCTCACATACGATGCAGAAACGAATATTTCCAGAGTCGGCAGAGCAGATCGTCGCGAGTTGCGGGAAGGTGTACGTGGTGATCACCTTCCAGCCCAGCCGGACCGACCTCATCGACTGGAGCGACGAAGCGGCCCAAGACAAGGACCTCCTTCTCGAGAATGTACGTGCCCGCTGAGGCCTCGCTCTTCTCACACCTGCGAACAAGCTTCCTCTGACGCGCGCTCGCTCTTCGCCACGCACACGCCCAGTTTGTGGCGTGGGGCAGGAACGTGTGCGAGCAGCTGCGCAGAGACGGACACTGGGCCGACCTCTCCGATCCCTGCAGCGGTCACCCGGTGCGCACGCACACTGCCGTTGTGTGTCGCGTGTGTTACTTTTTTGCGTGTTGCTTGTCGTGTGCGTGTCTGCTCACTCCCGCGACTCATCAGGTCATCGGGGATCGAGGCGGGCTGACGTACTGCGACACGAGCGGCATCGAGCTGCTGCTCCCCTACGACCGCATCCAGGTTCGTCCTTCGTCTTGATGTAAGCAAGCAAGTAAGGTCTTGATGCAAAACTCATCGCTTCGGATCCACTTCCTCTTCGTCATCATCAGGTGGGCAGTTGCGAGGTGGTGTCCCATCCCCAGTGGCGAACGGCAGTCTACCCCGCCACCCTCTTCACCTCTGCTCCCTACGAACTTCTGCAGGCGGCGCTCCTCGCCCACTCGCACCTCATCACCACCGCCGCCGCTCCGATCTGTGCCGAAGACGCGTAGGTCACGCAACACAACATGTTCATCTCGTGTACACTATCAACAAAGACGCAAGACGCCATACAACACGCGAGGAAGAGAGAGAGAGAGAGAGGCGCTCAGCCGACCACGGCCGGCGCGGCCGGGGCACCGTCGGTGGGCTTGGTGGGCGAGGGCTGCTGCTGCTGCTGGTTCTCTGAACCCGCCTGCTGTTCCCTCCTGCGCCGCTTCTTCCTCCGCTCCTCCCTCGACTCCTTGGTGCTGCCCTCCGCACCCTCCTCTCTGCTTTTTCGCTGCGCACGAGAGAGTCAGCCCCTCCATTGCGTGCATGCGTGTGTCGTGTGTCGTGTTACCTTGTGCTTGTGTCGGTGCTTCCGCTCTTTGTCTCGTCGTTCGCCGCCCTCGGCGCCGGGCTCGGTGCCCGGCGTTGGTGCGGCTGAGCCGCCATCCGCCCCGGGGCTGATCACGCTGCCGTCGGCGGCCACCTGCTGGTCGCGGTGCTTCTTGCGGTGCTTCCTGTGCTTGCGCTCCGCTCGCCCTTCCCTGTCCTTGTCTCTGTGCTTCTTTCGTCGCCGCCTCTCCTACACACGGCCGCGTGGTGTGAGCACACGACACACGGCACGACACACACGGCACGTGCGGGGCTGCAGAGGGGGGGTACCTCCAGCTTGCCTGGTTCGAGGGTGAGGCCTTTGAGGAGCTCCTGGCCCAAGGGGGCGAGGGCGAGATCGTCATCGTCCTCCACGATGGGCCACTCATCGAGAGGAAACAGGGCACGCAGCCCGAGGGCTGGATTCTTGTCTGTTTCGTTGCCCATCACGGGCAGGTGCCTGATGTAGGGCTCAAAGGTGGGCGGTATCTTGTCCCTATCCTTCAGCAACCCGCTGAGCTTGTAATGTTCGATCAGATTGACCGCCCCAGTCAGCTGCGGACGCACTAAGACATGATCGATTGAATCCACAAGAGTAGGATTAAAATTAATGAATATACAGATTAAAATAGCCCTTTTCTACAAGCAGGCGGCTCGTGTAAATACCATTCCCACGAAGGAGATAGTGGGTTCCAGCACTGACCGAACCCACAATGGCAGCATTTGGGGCACTCATCGTTTGAAGAGGGGCGGCCATCTGTACGCCGCACCAAAAAATATAAATAAAATCAAAAACCAAGTCCAGAGGGAATTGGTGTTTTCCTTTCTTTTCTTCCGCACAAGAAAATCGAACGTTTTATTTTCTTTATTCTTCTTTTGTTCTTCAACTCTTCTCTGCGCAGTTTCTCCGACTGCGTTGCGATTGTTGTTGCCATCTTCATCTTTCCGGTCCTCAGTACACACACATCATGTACAGGCAACCTTCGATCCTTCGATGTTCAATCTGCGCTTGACCCTGCAATCTTCCCCTACTCTCGTTACGGGACAAATTTCGTTTTCAATTTCGCTTTACTTCGTTCGATCGTTTCCATTCAATTCTGCCATCTGAATTCGCGCAAGACTTTACTTCCAATGCCACCTTCTTCATGTTTTTCTTGAATCTCCTCTCATTTCGTCCAATTTCTGCTTTTTCGCTGTATGCAGAAAGAAATGGGAGACGTAGACACCACTGCTGATGCGCCTCTCAAGCTGAGCGCGCCCGCCCCTCACCCGGACCTTCTCCTGGGTCAATCCATCGAGGTCGACCTCGGTAATCTCACCGGCTACGATTACCAGCCCCAGGACCTCTCCGCCTTCTCGTACGTTTGGGCTTCCATTTAAAATCTTCTTATTTCTTTCCATTTATTCATCTCATGCATTTGTTTTATTCAAATAATACAATCATTCAAACAATTCATTCGTTAATGAAACAAAAATCAAAAACGCCACCACACAGTGAGAAGGGCACGAAGGCCTACTTGGACGAGACGGGCCGCGATGCGGTGCAGCTCCTGTTCAACAAACTGCTGGGCCTCCCCACCCACCGCACGCAGGAGGGCGACGTGCTCGCGCAGCTGCCGCGCCCCACCACCCCTCTCCCCCGCGAGAAGCACGTACGCGTCTCCACACCGCCCTGTGCCCGATCGATCGATGATCCCGCTCACCACCTTGTTCCATATGCGTGTCGTGCGGCGTGTGTCGTGTCGTGTCGTGCGTGTGCGGCGTGTGCGGTTGGGTGTGGCCACACATGCGCAGATCCCCAAGCCCAAGCCGAAGACCAAGTGGGAGCAGTTCGCTGCCACGAAGGGCATACAGAAGCGCAAGAAGAACAAGCTCGAATGGGACGAGGTGCGTCGCGCGTGCAATCCTGACCACTCCTCATTTTCCATCGCTGCGCGCCGCACGTTGCTCGGTCCGCTCACGTGTTTGATCGTTTCTTTCTTTCTCTCTTCTGCAGACGCACCAGGACTGGCGGCGCGCTCACGGCTACCAGCGGGCCAACAGGTCCGAGGAGTCCAACTGGTACGCGCCCCCTTCCGTGTGTTGTGTGCGTGTGCGGTGCGTGTGCGGTGCGTGTCGTGCGGTAGTTGGAGCTGACTCTGTTCGGGTGGTTGTGTGCGTAGGGTGGTGGAGGTGAAGGGCAACGAGGCCAACCCGCACGACGACCCGTTCGCCAAGGTGGAGAAGGAGAAGAAGGATCGGGTCAAGAAGCAGAGGCAGAACGAGATGCGAAACATGGCCGCCTTCGCCAAGGCCGACGAGAAGAAGAAGGGTACCATCCCCTCCATCATCATCATCATCATCATCATCATCCACTTCATCAACTCACCATCTTCTTCTTCTTCTTTTTCATCATCAATGCAGGTCTGGCGGGTTCGATCCAGCACGTGAACAAGTCGACGGCGTCGCTGGGCAAGTTCAACGAGCGGCTGCCGGGCGAGCAGAAGGACCAGTACCAGCGCGGCAAGAGGAAGTTCGACGACCTGGCCTCGAGCGGCGGCCTGGCGAACGAAAAGGAGCGGGGGATGAGCGTGCTCAACAAGATCCTGGGCAAGGAGACGGCCGAGCTCAACACGGACCGAGCCGCCAAGCTGGCCCTGCCGCACGAGGCCAAGAAGCAGAAGATGGCCGACCGAAAGGCCGCCAAGGGCTCCGGCAAGGGCAAGGGCGGCGGCAAGGGCCGAAAGATGAGCAAGAAGTGAAAAAGTGAACCAATTGGGCAAGAGTGTGTCTCTTCACACATCATTTTTTCACAACATCTTTCTGCTTTTTTTTGAATACCATTTTAGGATTGGCCTGTTTTATCTCGAGCGAACGGGCATTGGCCGGAAAATTCTGCGGCTCGTCGACACAAAGGCGCCACTGGGACCGCGAGCCATAGCCGGCATAGCGCCGCATGCCCTGCTGGGCACCAGGTACGTACGACCTAGGTCGACCATGGTGGGAGTGCGGTCGCTAAGCAGCGTGAGCCCTTGGTCTCCTCCAGGCGAGTGCTTGATGTGTCGGAACGGCTCCACGCCGTAGAGTCTACGGCAGGCGGCCAAGCTTGCGCCCGGACAGCACTCCGCTTTTGTCTGGGTTGCTGGCGGAATTCCTCCTGGCCAAGGGGCCGCGCCAGCCCACTGCGCCTCATAAAACGCTCCTCTCTACAGCTCTTGTCCCTCATTCATACCAACAAACACAACAACAACAACAACTCTCACACCATCATCAACAACACCAACCACTCTCTTCAACTACTCCAACTACATCAACAATGGCCGAAGGACTGAAGGTGAGGTTCACATACAAGCCCGACTCGAGCTCTACTCCCGAGGAGTACTGGGTGGTGGCCAACCCGGGCATGCCCGACAAGTGGAAGCAGGACCCGTCCACCCCGCTCACCGACGTCCTGCAGTCGTTCGACATCTTCAAGGGACACGGCCAGGCCGGCCAGGCCCCACAGGCCGACCTCCTGTGCGCCTCCCCTTCTATTTGGCGCGTGTCGTGTGGTGTGTGTCGTGCGTCGTGTGCGTGTGCGGTGTGACTCACGCTGTGAATGGTGCACAGTAAGGTGTTTGGGACGACAGACAACGACGCGGTGATCCGAAAGATCCTGTCCGAGGGCGACTGGCCCAAGGAGAAGGGCTTCAACTTTATGCAGCACAAGAACCAGAAGACCATGAAGAAGGAGAAATAAGCACAAGTACGGCCCGAGCCAGACCACAGACTTATTAAGTCAAATAAAAACAATACAACAGAGCCCGCCCTCATCTTTACTTGCACTCAAGTGGGTTCTCATCTTTTGTCTTTTAGAGATTAATAATAAGAAGGGTAAAATGGCAAAAATTACATTGATGTTCAGGGGAGTGCTTGAGTCCCGCGACCTTGGCCGTGGGTGGCTGCCCTCGCCCGTTCTCGCTTCATCCGGGCGAGCTGCAGCTCCTCCTCCGGCTCGGTCGGTTTGTGTGGGGCTCATCGTCTTCTCCTTCGGGTTGTCGTCTTGGCCTTCATCGTCGTAGGGTTCAGCTGGGTGACTAGTCCTCCTTCTGCGCGACGTCGTATCGGGCGATGGCCTGCCGCACTTGCCGTCGGTCGAGCTTGCTCGCTCGACGTCGCGCCCGCTGGCTCCCGCCCATCGCACCATCTTCGTCGTTGTTGGGTCCTCCGCCACCACCATCGCCGCCATCAACACGGCCGTCCTCTCTGTCGTCGTCTTCATCTTCATCACTGCTGTCGTCTTCGCCTTCGTCTCCGCTGCTCGCGGCTGCGGCGACCACGGCTGCGTTGTGTTCGGCGCGCAGGGTCGCTGTGCGCTGGCGCACGGCGGCGGTCGGCCATGGCGGCACCGACTCTTGCAGGCCCGCCAGGGCCTTCAGTCGCTGCTTCTCCTTCTCCCGCTCGTCCACCGCTGCACCCACGATTCGCGTCAGCCCACACATGACACACGCACAACCGCACACACGCACGCGACGACACGAGCGCGCGTACTTTCTTGCGCCGTCCGGCATCCGGCGAGACCGATGACGACGCGGCTGTCGCGCTCCTCCGCGCGCTGGCGGATGAGTTGCTTGGACTTTCCGCCCTTGTTGGGCGCGGAGATGGTCCGTTGCCGTTTGTCCTCAGCCAGCTGCAGCAGGCTCGTCTTGTTGGCCGCCGTCGCCGTCGCCGCCGCAAAATAGGAATCCACCGACGTCGACGAGTTGATCTCTGTTGGCACAACCGCACACACCCATCAGCACGACCGCACGCACACACGCACACACGCGCGACCGCACACGCGCATACACACACCTTTTGGGGAGTGGTCGCTGGGCTGCAAAACTTTGTCGTCGAGGTACTTGAGGGCCTCCTCTTCGCGTTGCTGGCACTCGCTCTCCGCGGTGTCCATTTCGAGACCCTTGAGGTACTCGAACGCCGAACAGAACACGGTCAGGTAGTACCCGCCCTGCGAGGCAACAAACCGGTCAGTCACCACCACTGTGTGTCGTGTCGTGTCGTGTGTCGTACCTCGCCGTTGAGCTGCTCGGGGTCGCAGAGTCCCCAGAGGTACTCGGAGACCAGGAGCGGGTCCTTCAGGTTGGCTCTCGCCACCACATACAGGAAGATCTACCACACACACAGCCCCCGGAGGAATATGTCAGTCGTGCGCGCACGCATGGAACGCCGCCCGTTGCGTGTTGCATGTGTGCGTGTCGTGCGTGTGTCGTACGGGAAAGAAGTCGTCAGCCGAGAGGAAAATGGCTGTTCGGTGCTCTCCCTTCTTGCCCCGGTTCCTCTCGTAGTTGAGCTGCGCAACCGAACGATGTCAGGGTGTGCGCACGACACGACACGACACGACCAACGACACGACACGACCAACGACACGACACGACCAACGACACAGATAGGCGAAACCGGGCAGGGAGGGGGGAGGGTACGGTGGCATAGACGGATTTGGCGGCCGCGAGAACGGCTGCGAGAAGCTTGCCCGGCACATCCCAGTCGTCGAGGGCCTGCAGCTCGGCGATGGCGTGGGTCCACCCGCTCGACGACACGTGCTCCTCCTGTTGTTGGGCGCGAAATGATTAATAAATGCATAATATAGACAAATAAATAATGAGTGGTACCGAGATGCCGAAGAAGGACTGTGGCTTGGTGGAGGCGGCAGCGACCTTTCGCTTGAGGTGCATCTCCTCTTCCCTGTACACGAATCGTGTTTGTGACTGTGAGCATGTGTCGCGATGCAAACTAGTTTGCGTCGTGTGCGCGTTATCATGGTTTGCGTTGGTCGTGTCTAGGGGGGAGAACACGCACTTGGTGGGTTTCTTGAGGCAGGCCACGATCCGGTCGCGGAAGCGCGAGACGAGCGCACGCTCGAGGGAATTTTCGATCACCGATGACAGGGAGAGCTCCTCGTGCGCAAGCGATTGCTGGTTGGTCACACAACACACGCGTGCGCGCAGGGTGCGGTAAGTAAATGGCTCGCGACGCACACGCACTACCTTTTTCGATTTGATTTCGCATCTTATGGAGCCACGCTTCACACTTTTTTTAACGGATGTAAAGTCGCCTCCGCCACTCACTTCGCCTGCCCTTTTGGCTGACGCTTCGCATCGCCACCGCACACGCACACACGCACGACAGTTCCCGTGCAGAGGAGCTGCGAGAGAGCGCGCGTACCGCAGCGGCCTCCACGGTGAGCTTGGCTAATTCGCCGGCGTGCCTCTCGATAATGTAGGCACGCATGTCGTCCATGAATTGGCGCACCTGTCGAGAGGAATGCAAAAAATGAGCGACGTGGCACGCCGTGGCGCAAATGGTTATCCAACGCGCGATGATGGGATGGTGGTGGTTGGTGCCGCGGCGTACGTTCATGACGAGCGTGGCGGGGTTCTTTTCCAGCACCGCGAAGTTGCTGCAGAACTGCTTCAGCGTTCGTCCCTCGGGCGTGTGGACGTCCAAGATCATGCTGTGCACAACGAAAGTCATCGCGTTAGCAACACACGACACACACGACCACACACACGACCACACACACGACCACACACACGACACACACGACACACACACACACACACACACGACACACACGACACACACGACACACACGACACACACGACACACACGACACACACGACACACACGACACACACGACACACACGACACACAGTGCAACGATGGTGTGAGTCGGTGTACGAGTCGATGGCGTTCTCCAGCCGCTGCTGTTCGGTGGTGCCCAGAATGCTGTGGAGCTTCTTGGCCTGCCGCGACCGTCGATCGTCGTAGGTCCCCATCTGCGCCTGCTGCTGCCGAGTGCTTCGCGGCGGCGTCGTGATAGGCGGCTCCAGCAGTCCCGTTTGTTGCTGCTCAAGACGACGATGAACGACAACGACAACAACAACGACGGCAACGACAACAGTGTCAGCAGTGTCAGCGTTTTTGTCGGGTGGTGGGCGGTTCGTGGCTGGGCCGACGTACCAGCTTCTCCTGCAGACGTGTGGCGATGTCGGGCGTGAGGAGGCGATCCTCCTGTCGCCGCAGGGCCAATCGTGACGTGATCTCCTGGACGATGTGCATCGCCACCTGCACAACACCATCACCAAACACCAAGTTTAACCCACCGTGTGCGTGTGCGGTGCGTGTGCCTGGTCACGTACGGTGGATCGATACTGGTAGGAGTGCTTGGCGTTCTTGTAGTCAATGACGAAGCTCCTGACGTTCTTCATGTAGACCCGCACCACCGCTTCGTAGGGGTACAGCGATGACACCTTTCCGTTCTTGCGCACATTCTCGATACCCTCCCTGCATGCGTGGCGCGTGCGAACACATCACGGCTTAGTCATAACGCACATGCCTTGCAGCGCATGCGGTGTGTGCGGTGGTGCGTGTGCGGTGGTGCGTGTGCGGTGGTGCGTGTGCGGTGGTGCGTGTGCGGAAGCATAACGTACGAGGTAAGGCGGAGGGTCCGGGTCTGGCGCTTGCCGTACTGGTTGATCTTGGTGACGACGTAGGCCAGGTCGGGCAGGGACCGCCACCAGTCCTTCTGCAGGGCCAACGACAGCCGCACGCCGGCCGCCATGGTCACCTTCCGCGAGCCGAATTCGGACCGTTTGAATGATTCATCATCGAGTCCTCCATCTTCATCCTTGACATCGTCGTCGTTTGCATCGACTTCGTCATCTCCTGCAACTATGCCATGGTCTGATTGTTCCTTTCCCTGCCGATCCTGGCGATGGGTCCGAGCCTGATCCTCGGTCACAGCCGTTATAGCTGTCTCCTGCAGCGCGATCTCTTGCAGGAGGTCCTTGAGAGCGTCCTCCGCCTCCATCCTCGTGGTTGCTCGCCGAAATTGAATCGAGTAGAGGAAATGGAAAAGAGAGGGGGGGGGCAAGAAGACAGGAGCGATCTTCACTTCTGCAGGCAAAGATCGAAGGAGCTCCGGCAGAAGATGCAGAATAGATCTAGATCAATCAAAAAGCAATCGATCGATTAATTCGCTCCCATTCCATGCAGCCCAGGGAAGGAACAAAAAAGAAGCAGAGCAGCGGGAACCCTGTTGTGGCCGTAATACTGAAATATAAATTACAACATTCTCAGCATTCCACCAGCACCGCCTGGGATCCCACCCCATCGCCAGCGAACCGTTGGCCAACAAGGTGTTCACTCTGCACTTCTTATTTCGTTCATTCAATCAAGTGCTCACATGATGAGGCGCAGCCAGCTGTTGGCCAGCAGCGGGCCGGCAGCGCCGGAGCAGAGGTCGCCGGGCGTGGGCGCCTTGATGATGGCCACGGTGGCGTTGAGCACGTCCGGGTGGTTGGGCAGGGCAAAGTGGTCCACGTTCGGCAGGTCCTTGTTCGTGAACGAGTCGCACCTCATCTCCGACCAGATCTCGTTCGACTCGTTCGTGATGTACTCCTGGTTGATGTCCCCCAGCGCCTCGAGGTACGCTGCAAGAAGAGATCAGAGGCGCATTAGCTCCGGCTTGAGGCTAACCGTGATCACGACTAGTGAGGGTCGGGTGTTAGCTTGAGGCCTTCATACCTGTGGAGCTCTGACCGACAGTGAGGTTGGCCCGCGCAGTGCCGACGATGGTCGAAATGTTGGAGCCGAAGAAGTTGAAGACAGGCACCTCGGGGAACATGGTGGGCTTGACCAGCCCGTTGTACTTGGGGTTGAGCACGGCCGCCAGCTCGAGCCCGCTGTCGGCCCACAGCTGGGTGTAGTCTTCGGGCGTGTAGTTGCGCTCGGGGGTGCGGATGAGGGTGATGACCCGCTTGAAGGTGGCCGGCTGGGCGGCGGAGAAGTAGGTCGAGGGCCAGGCCTCGAAGGTGGCGGCCGTGCTCGGGAGGAAGGTGAAGTCGAGCACGGACAGGCCTTCGAAGAGCAGCGATGTCATCAGTCCACCGCCGGCCCAGTTGCCCGCGTAGGGGATGAACCCAGCTGTAGAGTAAAAGAAGATGAACCACTAATCTTGTGTAAAAGATGTGGGTTTGGGGGGGGGGGCGAAGTTGTACCGATGTACTTCTCGCGGAAGTCGGCGCCAGCGTGAAGAAGGAAGTACTGGGCCACGATGGGACCGTTGGAGTGGCCCACCAGGTACACCTTGGTTTGGTTGGCCGCTTCGTAGGCCCGAATGACCAGCTCGCGGGTGTCCGCCATGAAGTTGGTGCCCGGAATCACATCAACGTTGGGCGCCATGCGCCAGTCGAAGCAGGCCGCCAGCAGGGTGGTGTTGCGCACCAGGCCCGCCCCCTCCATAGCGACGAAGAAGGGCTCGTAGAAGGGCGCGCAGGCCGGGTGGCCGTAGTCCTTGAGCGCCACGCTGACTCCCTCCTGGCCGGAGAAGCGCCCGGTCTCGGTCGAGTAGTTGAGGGCCAAGAGGTTGGTCATGCAGGTGATGTCGAACCCATTCTGGACCGCGTCGGCCTCGAAGTGGAGCCGGTAGGTGCCCGAGGCGGGGCACGAAGGCTGGACGGTCTGGTTGGTGACAGTGACCTCAAAGACGGACAGGCTGTAGCCCGGGAAGAAGACCACCGGGTGCGCCGGGGCTCCGGCCGCGAAGCCAGCGCAGGCTACGGCGACAAGCAGCAGGAGAGTGGTCAGACCCAGCGAGTGCATGTGAGGTGTGGGTGAGTGCAGAAGAAAGCTCTGTTGCGAGATGAGGAACCAAACTAGCTTGGGTCCGGGGTTCCGTTTAAGTGCAAATTACGATCGTTAGGGTGCTCCCACTGGTCGTACAAGTTGGACAACCGCGTTTGATTTTCTGTTGGCTCTGCCTCGGAGATCTTGTATTCGTCCTGTGCGGGATTCGTTGAAACATAAATGGGCATGCGCCGAAGGCGAAGTCCGGACATTGGCAAACAAGTTGTCGCTGTAGTTTACGGAGCGGCGCCGATTCAAGCTTGTTCCTCCGCAGCTGCCGCTTCTTCACCACTGCTACAACCACTGCGACAGCCACGCCAGCCACGCCCATCTCGGCCACGGGGACCACCACCGACACCGCTACGATCTCTTGAGCTTGTCACTGCAGCTCCAGTCGGCTGTTGCCTGTGGCTTGGTCTTGAGCGTCGGTTCCGTCGGCCTTGCCTGTGGTGACGTCGGTGGTGGTGAGGTTGGCAGTGAGCAGGTTCAGCTCGACGTCGTCCACCAGCGGCCACGGCCGCGTGGCCAAGTCAGTGGAATTCAGCAACAGAGCTTTCAGTCCCCACAGCAACCTTGGTTGAGCACCGAGAGGACCACACCTTTGGGAACTAGAATCACGTCGGGCGCGGTGAGGTTGAGCAGCACAGGCACGTCGCCACCCTACCGGTGTTGCTCACCAGATAGACGGGCGATGAGCTGGCCGACGGGGAGGCAGTGGTCGCTAGCGGTTGGCTCGGTGTTGGGCTCGCTACACTCGGGGTAGGGCTCGACAAGGTGGCTTGGCGACCTGGTGAGCGACGCGCTTGGCGAGTGAGAAGGCGAAGCACTGGCGCTGGGTGACTCCGTAGGCGGTGGGCTTGAAGCTCGGCGAAGGGGGTACCCTTACGGAGCCGTTCGTTTCCGAAGCTCAATTCAGAAACGCAACTGGAAAACAGCAGCGTTTGCCAAAAACAAACAATGTTGCGGGAAGTCGCACCGCATTCTTTGCATTGTTCCGGTTGGGAGCACTGTGCCGGCTCAACAACAGGGAGTTAAGCACATCATACAGAGCTGGCTATGATGATGGAGGGGCAAGACATGACACTGGCCTTGCCAGATGAGCTTCTGAGCGAGGTCATCAGGTGCGCCTGCCGCCAGGCTCAGCCGAAAAAGAGTTTGTTCTTCTTACCGCACTGACGCTGAGATGTGAACTCGACAAACGCAGAAAGCTGAGGAAGACCGAATGGCTGTGTGCGGCGGTGCTGGTGAACCGCCGGTGGCACGGCCTGGCCAGCTACTGGCGCCTGTGGCGCACCCCCTTCCGCGCTCGCTTCCCGGCCGCTTCGCTGCCCGCGCCACCACACCCCGCCCAACACCCGCACACCACCACTTGCCACCCGACATGGCCCGGCCCTGACGTCGGCCTCGCCACCGGCCGCGGGCGGTCCGCGAGCTGTCTGGGCGGTCATTGCGGCCCCGACATTGTTGTTCGAGGCAGCGCCGTGCTGAGCCACAACCACAACAACAACGGCAATGTGGTGGAGTGGCGCGCGGAGCTGGTGGCCAACGCGCGGCGGGTGCATGAGCGATGGATGACCAACCAGCGCAACCTGCTCTGGAGTACTCCTCCACCTCTTCTCCCTCATCAGAACAACATCTTTCTAGTGTCAAGCCACTCATCATTATTTGTAAAAATGCTAATTATGTGTTGTGTGTGTGTGTGTCGTGTGTGCTGCTGAACAGGTCACGACGTGCCTTCCCTCTACAAGCCATCGCGGGAGTCGTCGCGGGTGGCCCCGCGTGACGGCAAGGTGTGTTTCGCCCGCATCGCCATCGAGTCCTACCAGATGTCCTACGTCCTCGTACTCTACGCCAACGGCAAGCGCGGTGCGCGTTAACTCTTCCTTCACATCTGCTACTACCACACGACATGACACGACACACATCAACACGACACGACACGATACGATACGACACGACACGCCACGCACACGGCACGCACACGACACGCACACGACACGCAAGACGCGCCCTCACCGCTTCTATTCGTCCAACGTTCAGATTGGCGCACCCTGCCGAGCACTCCGCGGGCGCTCTGCTGGCCAAGCGACGACACCCTCTTCCTCCTCCACGAATCCGAGCTGGTAGAGTGATGCTAATGATGTTGTGTGATGATGCTGAAGATTATGATGATGACGATGTTGATGACGATGGTGCCGTGAATGTTGGTGTTGACTTGGTCAAGACGTTGATGGACGTGCGGACGTTGGACGACATCAAGACGGTGGCGGTGGATTCCACGCGGCAGTTCGAGCTGCTGTCGGTCGACCCCGTGAGCCAGCTGGCCTGCCTCGCCGGTCCTTTAGGTCTCAGCTGTGTCGATCATCGCGTGGGCTCCCAAGTCGGTCAGGTACCACACGACACGCTCACCACCGCACATGCACGACACACAACAACACACGGCACACGCGGCACACGCGGCACACGACACACGACACGCGACACGAAGCTCACTTGGGAGGGGTCAGGTGGGTTGGGATGAGGACTCGTCGGTGCATTTCTTGGGCCTTGGTGGGAGGACGAACCCCAATCAACTCTGCGTGGTGGGCCACCGACGAGCCGCGCTCTGGGACCTCCGCAAGCTGGGCCAGCAGCTCGACTGCCTCGAACCGGCGCACGGTTAGGACACGACACGACACGACACGACACGCACACGCACACGCACACGCACACGCACACGACCGACGACACACGTTGACTGCAAATTGTACCATCAACTCCCAAACACAGCTGCGACGAAGTACCGGTGTGCGGCTCTTCACGATGGCACGCTGCTGCTGACCGAGACCACCGCGCAGGAGCACACCTTCCACAGCTTCGACCTTGCAGGTGGCGTGCTCACGCCGTCGTCGCCCTTTCCGTCGCACCACTTCCTCAGCCGAACTCTCATGGGCGCCGCACGTACGACACACGCACGCACACGCACACGCCACACGTCACACGTCACACGCCACACGCACGACGCGCTGACACGACACACGCGCGTGTTGATGGTACTGTGCAGAGGCGCCTTTCAGGGTCCAGTTCGACCGATACAAGTGGGTGCTGGGGCTGGGCGACTCGTGGGCGGTCGTTGACCGCCGGAGCGGTCGCGTGAGCGAGAGCTTCCCGCTCGCGGCGCCGGCGGCCAAGGCCAGCAGCAGCGGCAGCGGCGGCGGCAGGGGCGGACCCTACGACCTGGTCTACCACAACGACACCCTCGTCACCTCCACCTCCTCGTACCTATTCACCGCTACGTGTCGTGTCGTTGGTCGTGTCGTGTCGTGTCGTATCCCGAGGCTCATGCGCTCCGCGGTGTGCAGGCATCTGATGCTGTGGGACTACTTTACGGAAGAGTCCATGGGCTGTGGCCAGTGGGCATAACAGAAGTACTTTAATTGTTTCACTCTGATTCGAGAGAGGTTTCATATCACTCAGCCCCCTCCTGTGACACGACACAAACATGACACGACCCACACACCGTGAGTCAACGGATGAGTGCGTGTGCGTGCGCGGTGCGCGGTGCGCGGTGCGTGTGCGGGCGATGGTGGTACCTTGGCCTTGTTGGACTTGACCTTGGTCAGGTAGCCGTTGAACACGAGCACGCTCAGCAGCTGCTCCACGTCTCCGAAGCCGCCGACCGCGCCCTCCCTCTGCTCCTCCTCGTCCATCTCGTCCTCGTCCTCTTCATCGTCTTCATCCTCGAACCGACCCATCCCCTCCTCATCGTCGTCGTCATCGCCATCGTCGTTTTCGTTCTTTCGTACGTGCCTCTTCGCTTTCGCGTTTTGGTCTTCGCTTCGTCTTCGCTTTCGGCGCTGGTCGCGAGCGGCCTTGCGCGCCTTGACCAGGTCGCGGTAGCCGCTCTCGGAATAGAGCTGGCCCGCCGTGAACGCCGCCCACCGCCCGCCGTCGGCCTCGTTCGCCGCATCAGGCCCGCGGGCGCCCTGGCGCCGCTCGACCCAGTCCAGCACGCACCCCATCGCGCGCTTGACGAAGATCTTGGCCTCGAGGCTCGACTTGAAGTCCTTGTTGCCGAACGCCAGGTGCAGCGTCCAGCTCTCCTTGCCCTGGCGCTCGCGGCCATCATCATCGTCGCCGCCGCCCTCCTTGTCGTCGCCGAGCATGGACTGCAGCGCGCGCTTGCGGCCGCCCTTGTCGAAGGCCGTCGGCGGAGGGCAGGCGGGCCTTTTGGCGGCGGCGGCGGAGGTGGTGGTGGGCTTGTCCTTGCTGATGACGGCGACTGGGTTGCGTCGGAGCACGGTGTCCTTGGTAATCTCCACCTCGGTGCCCTGCTCGCTGGTGTCTACGTTCACCTCCTGTGTGCGGTCGTGTGCGGTCGTGTGCGGTCGTGCACGGTCGTGTGCGGCGATGAGTGTTGGGCTGGCGGGAGGGGAAAGGGCAGAGCGCACCCGCTCTTTGTGTTCGCGGAAGAGGCCCTGGGGCAGGAAGTCGCGGGCGGAGAGCAGCCCGATCTCGCGCGGCAGGTTGGTCAGCAGCGCCCGCAGATGCGCCCGAGCCGACGACGGGTCCTACGCAACAACATAATTAGTAGAATAAAACAAAACTTAAAAATTTTTACATAAATTTTACATAAATAAAATGTAAAAAAATAACAATGCTCTAATAACTTGAACATATAAATAAATAAAGAAATATGTATAAATACCTTGACGATGATGTTCTCGCGCCAGTGCTGGTACTTCCACAGGTGCTGGCCCAGCGAGTTCATGAGGAGGTCGAGCCACGAGGAGGTCGACATCGAGAAGTTGATCGACAGCGAGCCCTCGTCCGAGTCGCAGGTGACGTGGTGCCAGTAGCCCGCCGGGACGTACATCACCGATCCGGGCCTGCACACGACACACGACACGACACGACACGACACACACGGCACGACATCGCACACAACGCACGCGTCCCATAATGAGTCAAGCACTCCACATAGACGGTCTTCCAGAGGGGGCAGGCTGACCTCAGCACGAAGGTTTGCGCCTGGGAAAAGTCCTTAGGCGGCTCCACATCCGCAGCGGGCGCGTAGGACGCGTGCACCTTCCTATGCTCCTGTTCGTTTTCCAACGGCACCACACACCCACACCACCGCACACGCCGCACACGCAGGGGATAAGTAAAGTGACTCGCGACTTGTGTGGGTGGTTGTGTTAGTGATGTTAAGTCTGGAGAGGAGGAGACGCACGTCGTATTTCTCGGTGGCGATGTTCTTCGGGTTGGTGTGGTTGGTGACGGGGCAGAACACGCCCGGACTGATGCTCCAGCGCTTGCGACCCGTCAGCTGGATCGTGAAGTTCTGAAAGACCACACAAACGACAACGCGACCGCACACGGCGATGACGTCAGCCACGACACACGACACACGACACACACGGCTCACGACACACGTGGCACACCTCCTGCGCGTCAAAGTGCCAGTCGGTGACGTGCTTGCCTCGGACCGCGAAGATCTCGATATCGCCGCCGAAGCCGTCATCCTGGCAGAGAGGGAGGAGGGGAAAAGAGAGAGAAAAGGTCAAACGAGGGGAAATCGACACAAGTGTGAGAGACTGTGGGGGGGGGGCACTGGGCGCACCTTCTTGAGTCCGAAGTTGGCGCCCAGGTCTTCGGCCAACTGCTTGATGTAACTCTTCTGCAGGGCCACCGGCGGGTTGAAGTACCTACGAGCGGAAAAAAACGTATATGAGTGAGCACGCGCTCCAACAGTCATGACACGCACACGCACACGCACGCGCACGCACACACACACGACACGACACGCACACGACACGACGTACAGCGAGTGACCGGCGAGGTAACAGTGGTAGGCCGTCTTGTTATCTGCGCGGACGAAGTGGGCGATCGTGAGTGCGACAATACTGTTTCTTGGAGAAGTAGGGTGAGGGGAGATCTGGGGCGCAGAGGTACCGGCGTAGAGGTGCTGGATCTTGCCGTCGGTGGTCTTCATCCACACCACGCAGTCCTAGAGGAGTGTGGGTTGGAATGTCAGGAGTGTGTGGAATGTTGAGCGCGAGAATGCAATTCAAGGAATGCTGTAGCGAAGGGCCAGGCGGTAGATCTGTACCGAGGCCTGGGAGACGAGCTGCTCGACGTCGTAGTTCATAAAGTCCTGCTTGACCTTCTGCAGACGCTCGCCGCAGCCCTGCACCACGTAGGCCTTCTTCTGCCATATCCTGTGGTGATGGTGGCCCAGCACACAGTGACAAACAAAAGTCAACAACCAGAATAGGTGGTAAGCAGCCCAGAGCTGTGGCGGGCCGACGACGCACTTGGTCATAAACTCCACCGGGTGCATGGGCCAGATCAGGCACGAGAGGCCTGCGTGGTGCGGTGGGTGGGTGGTGGGTGGTGGTAGGTGGTGGGTGGTCAGTCAGGCTGCGCACAGAGCGATGAGGGGAGCAGAGACGGGCGATTGTGGGGCTTACCGGGCGCGAGGATGGGCGGCTGGTTGGCCTGAGACTCCATGGCCGACGCAAGAGAGAACGAGCCCGAGAACAGCGAAGACGTCGAAGACGATGAAGAAGACGACGACGACGACGATGAAGAAGACCCGCCGAACAGGGACGAGGTGCTGCTGCTGCTGCCGCCGCCAAAGAGGGACGAAGCGCTGGGCTGGGGCGCGTCGGCGGCCGAGGGCTCTTCGACGAGGGCGGGGCTGTGCTGTAGTACCGGGTCGATGAACTTGACCACCTCATTCTCCATCTCCGTCGCGATGATCGGCAGACCCAGCGACTCGATCTCCTCTTTCTGTACCAACCACACAAACGCACATGTGAACACACGACACGCAACACGACACACGACACACACGCCAACACGACACACGACACACGACACGACCAACGACACGACCCACGTACCCAGGTTTCACGGAGGTGGTTGGCCGGCACGAGGCCTTCGTCCTCCTCGGGCGAGCCGGGCGGCACGTTGCGCTTGCACCAGAGCCAGCCCTGCGTGCTGTGGAGATTTCGAAGTTGTACTTCGTGGTCAGTCGCTCGCGCTCAGCTCCAGCGTTGTGTGCAACCATCAAGAAAGAAGATGCGAATGTCTCCATGATCCAAGTTTTGGTCTCAAAATCGCGATTGTGCAGGCAAGGAGATTTTCATTTGCAATTGTGAAAATGATGGAGAAAGGGGGCAAACCTTTTGGCCCAGTCGACGTGGAGCACCTCGCCGCGGTTGCACGCCAGCTGATTGAACAGCGGAGACGAGTAGTCGCGTACGGCCACCACCCGTGTTGTCATCTCGATGCCGGAGAAAGTAAATCACAAAAATATAAAATACCCGAAATATATGTGTCTTTTCTTTTTTACAACATTCCGGATTAAATACATAATTATAAACATGTTTATAATTATGTATTTTTGTCGTAAACCGAAGTAGGACGGCTTCTTCATCTTCTTCATCGAGAGCTTCTAGAAGAAGGAAGACGAGCCCTTGGCGAGCGGGTCGGCGAAGATGTCGGGCGGCGGGGCGGCCGCCTTGGCCTGTCGCTCCTCCTCCTCGCGCCTCTTCTTCTCCCGCTCCTCCTTCTCCTTCTTGCCCATCAACGGGTTGCTGAAGATGTCGAACGAGTCGTCGCCTCCGCCGCCACCCGACGACGACGCCATCGTCTTGGCAGGAGCAGCCGACGAAGAAGATGACGACGACGGCGTGGGGTCGTCAAAGAGACCGATCTTGGCCGCGGCTCTGGGCCTGCTGCCGGCGGCGGCGGCCGAGGTGCTGCCGTTGGCCGAGCCGAACATGTCGTTGTCTCCGCCAAAGATCGACGACGACGACGTGGAGGTGGAGGTGGAGGTGGACGAAAAGGAGGGCATCTTGAAGTCGCCGTCGAGCACGGACGACGAGGAGAGCGACGAGAGGAGGTCGTCGGTGTTGACCACTGCCGGCGCGGGCGCAGGGGCGGCAGCGGCGGGCTTCTTGACGGGCGAGACCGCTGGTCGCTCCTCCGTAGAGGACTTCTTGGGCTGGCTCAGGTCCAGCGCACCGAACACCGAGGTGGCTGTGTGTCGCACATCACGTCAGTCGCGAGAACACACCGCACGCATCGCACGCACACGAACGCACACAAGGGGGGTAATGTGTACCGTCAGTGCCGGCGCGGGGCTTGGCGGACTCGCTGGCCGCGGTGGTGCCGCGAGAACGCATAGTGCGCGACGGCAGCCGCTTGTTGGAGTTCATGGGGCGCGACTTGACCGCGTGCGACAGCGCCGGCCCCTTCTTGACCTGGCTCTCGTCCTCCGTCACCACGGCAGGCATGGGCGCGGCGGCCGCCGATCGAGGCCTGGACACCGCTGCAGCGGCGAACGACGGCGGAGGCACGGCGGCCGTGTCGGCCTCACCCTCGTCGTCGTTGTCGCCAAAGTCTGGCAGGTCGTCGACGTCGAGCGGGCCGCTGCCGCTCACCTCCTCGGCGGCGGCCTCCTTGGCCGGTCGGCGTGCGCCCGGTCGCAGGGCCAGCGGGTTGATCGCGCTGCCGATCGAGTCCTGGAGCGCGGCCACCTTGCCGCCGGCAGTCCCTCGCCGCGGTCGGTTGACCACCTCCTCGACCTCCTTGGGCGCCTGCTCCTTGGCGGACTGCTCGGCGAGCAGCTTCATCTTCTCGGAAACGCTGAGAGTGGGCAGGGGCACCACCTCGGTCGTGCGCCCGGCGATCGGGGCGGCCGTGACCGGCGCGGCAGCGACAGCAGAGGGTCCGAGCGGGTTGTCGAACAGCCCGCCCGAGGCGGCCTCCTTCTTCTTGGCCGGCGCGGGGCCGGCGAGCGGGTCCTCGCCAAAGAGATCGGCCGTCGCCGCCGCGGGCTGGGTGGCCTTCTTGGCCGGCGCGCTGCTGGCGGTGGTGGCCTTCTTGGCTGCGGCGGTGGCGGGAACGTCGCCGAAGAGGGAGTCGCCGAGGTCTGCGTCCTTCTTGGGCGCCGCAGCGGGCTCGGCGGGGGCCTTCTTCACGGGCGTGGCCGCCTTCTTGGCCGCAGCGGGCGACGCCGCGCCAACGCCGAGGTCGCCAAAGATGTCATCGGCCGCGGCGGTGGTGGCCGTGGTCTTCCGCACGGCGGTGGCCTTCTTGGCCGGCGCGGCCTTGGCGGCACCCGTAGCGGACTTGGTGGCGGGAACGTCAGCGAAGATGTCGTCCCCAGCAGCCGCCGCAGCACCAGCGGCCTTCTTCGCAGCTGGCGCGGCCTTGGCCGCGGGTGCCTTCTTGGTGGCTGCGGCGGTGGACTTGGCAGCCGCAGTCGCGGGCACGTTGGCGAACAGATCATCCGCGGCGCTGGCGGCAGCAGCGGGAGCCGCCTTCTTCGCAGCGGCAGCGGCAGTGGTGGTCTTCTTCGCAGCCGGGGCAGCGGCGGTCTTGGCCGCAGCAGCGGCAGTGGTCTTCTTGGCGGCGGGCGCAGCAGCCTTGGCGGCCGCGGTGGTCTTCTTGGCAGTCGCCGCCGTCGCCTTGGTGGCCGCAGGTCCGGCCTTCTTAGCGGCGGCCGCAGCACCAGCAGTTTTCTTGGCCGCAGGTGCGGGCGCCGGCGCCGCAGCGGGGTCGGCAAACAGATCGACCGCCGCCGGGGCCTTCTTCTCGGCAGCAGCGGCGGGCTTCGGATCTGCCGCCTCACCAAAGAGGCCGCCGGCGAGGGGCTCGGCCGCCTTAGCGGGCGCCTTCTTGGCCGTGCCCGGGGACGAGAGGAGTCCGCCGAGCGGGTCCTCGGCAACGACGGCCGCAGCGGCAGCCGCGACCTCCTTCTTGGCGGGCGCTGCGGCGGGCTTCTTGGGCGCAGCCTTGGGCGCAGCACCGAAGAGGCCGTTGTCGTCATCCCCGCCCACGTCGCCGAAGAGCGAGCCGGACGCCTTGGGCGCAGCCGTAGTCTTCTTGGAGGCTGCGGGCGCCGACGCCTCGCCGAACAGGCCGGCGGGCTCATCGCCAAAGAGGCCACCTCCCGCGGCGGGCTTCTTCTTGGGCGCCTCGGCCTTGGGCTTCTCCACGGCTGGTTCGTCTGCAACGATCGGCCATTAGCTACCACACACACGACACGACCAACAACACGACACGACACACGCAAAGGAAAGGCGAGATCGCACCAGAAGCGGGGAATCCACCAAGACTTCCGAACAGACCACCGGCACCGCTGGCGCCTTCCTCGTCGTCACCGAAAAGTCCGCCTCCACCACCGATCAGCTTCTTAATGGCGGCCGGCTCCTTCTTGGCAGCCGCCGGTTCCTCCGCCTTCTTGGCCGGCTCGGCAGACTTCTTCTTGGCCGCCGTCACGCCGCCGCCACCGAACAGGGCGTTGGCGTCATCGCCGTCGGAGAGACCCTCGTCCTCGCTGCCAAACAGGCCGCCACCTCCGCTCTTCTTGGCCTGCGCAAGTGCGGGCGCCGAGGCCTTCTTGGGCGCTCCGGACGTGGGCAGCACCGCGACTCCGCCAAAGAGACCGCCACCGGATTTCTCCTCGTCACCGCCGCCCAGCGGCGAGGCCGCGGGCGCCGCCTGCTTCTTCGTCGCGGCGGGGGCAGCAGCAGCAGTAGCAGCGGCCGGCGCCTTCTTGATGTCCTTGGCCTTGGCGGCAGCGGCGTTGGCCATGTCGGGGAACATCTTGACACCGCCGAAGGGCTTGCTCGACGCCTGCTTGCCACCGCCGTTGTCAGCGACCGCCTCCTCATCGTCGCCCAGCAGAGTGTCCTTGGCCGGCGCGGCGGCCTTGGGCGGCGGCGCTTGGGTCTTCTTGGCCGCGGCAGGGGCGGGCGCGCCACCGAAGATGGAGTCGCCCTCCTCGTCGTCACCACCGAAGAGCGACGAGCCCGAGGACGACGCCGTGGACTTCTTTTGCGCGGGCGCGGCCTTCTTGGCGCCGCCGGACGTGGGCAGCACCGCTACGCCGCCAAAGAGACCACCGGCGTCGCCGGCCTCATCGTCGCCGCCGAGATCGCCGAACAGACCACCGCCGCCCGTCGCTGGCTTCTTGGCGGAGGCCGGGGCCTTCTTGGCAGGGGCGGGCTCAGCGGCACCGAAGCCGCCCTCGTCGTCGCTCGCGCCAAAGAGTCCGCCGGAGGACTTGGGGGCAGCGGCCTTGGTCTCCGCCTTCTTCTTCGCCGGCGCGGGAGCACCGCCGAACATGCCCTCACCCTCCTCGTCGTCGCCACCGCCAAAGAGACCGCCACCGGCGGCGGGGGCCGACTTCTTGGCCGCGGCCGGCGCCTTCTTCGTGGAAGCGGGAGCGCCACCGCCGCTGAACAGGTCGGCTCCTTCGGCCTCGTCCTCGCTGGCGCCAAACAGGCCGCCGGCCGACTTCTTGGCCGCGGGCGCCGCCTTCTTCGTAGGAGCCGCCTTGGGGGCCTCGTCAGCGCCGCCGCCACCAAACAGCCCTTCGTCACCGCCTTCGTCGCCGAGGAACGACGGCACCGCGGCCGCCGACTTCTTGTCCTTGGCGGCCGCCTTCTTCGTCGACCCACCGCCGAACATGCCTTGATCTTCCTCCTCATCATCGCCACCGCCGGCGAGAATGTCCTCAAAGAGTCCGCCGCCGCCGCTGGACTTCTTCGTTGCTTCGGCCTTGGCGGCGGACTTCTTCTCGGCGGCCTTCTTCGTGGGGGCCTTCTTGGTATCGCCGCCCATGTCGTCGCCAAAGTCGGCGAAGATGTCCTTCTCCTCCTCGTCGTCGCTCTTGTCCAGGAACGACGCGAACAGGTCGTCGGGCTTGATCTTGGTCGACTTGGTGTCCTTGGGCTGCTGCTGCTGCTGCTTTTTCGGCGGCACAAACTCCTCGCTCTCCTCGTCCTCCTCCCGCTCGGTCTCCGTCTCGTCGTTGGGACCCAGTCGCTTCTTCCGCTTGCCTTCGAGGCTCTCGGGCAGCTCGCCCTTGGCGTTACGCTGGATCGCGGCCGCCAGTTTCTGCTGCAGCTGCTTCTTCTTGCGCTCCTCCTCGGTCAAACCGTCGTCTTCCTCCTCCTCCGCGCCGGCATCGGCAGGAGGTGCGGCGGGCGCCGCCGCCTTCTTGTTCTTCCGAGCGGCCCGCCTGGCCGCCTTCTGTTGGATCCGCTCCTGGCGCTGCTGCTCACGGGCGGCCCTGCGCGCCTCGCGGCGCTGCCTGCGCTCTTCCTTCTCCTCCTCGTCCGAGAACAGACCGCCGCCGGAGCTTTCCTCGGAGCTCTCGCTGAAGATGCCCTTGTCCTCGCTCTCACTCTCGCTTTCGCTTTCGCTCTCCTCCTCTTCGTCTTCGTTCTCGTTGTCCTCCTGGCCGCCTTCGCCGTCGACCCGCTCCTTGCCCTTGTCGGTGCCCGTCGTGTCGTAGTCGCCACCATCGCTCTCGCCGGCGGAGCCCTCGCCGCCCTCTTCGTCGGTGAGTCCCTCCTCCGTCTGATCGCCCTCGTCCTCGGTCAAGTCCTCCTCGCTCAGCTCATCTGCACATCACCATTGGCCCACCAAAGCGTGACGTGGCAGAGTCAGCATTTGTTGACGACAGGAGGAAAGCCTAAGTATGCCAACTATGCGACGCGCGGGGTGGTGGTGATGTGATGTGTGCGCACCTTCGGATGAGAGGAAGAGGCCGCAGAAGTCGTCCTCGTGGAACTCGACGGTGCCGATGACGTAGGGCAGCGGGTACTTGGCGTAGGGGTCCGGCGTCTTGTCGGCCTGCGCGTCCGCCTCGGGAGCCGGCGCGGCACCCTCGCCACCCTCCTCGGTCATCGAAGCCGGCATCGGGGGCTTCGGCGGGTTGGCCAGCGCCGACAGCTTCAGCGCTTGAAGACCGTTGCCGATGGCGTCCAAATACTATCGCACGAGAGAGGGTTGTTAAGATGAGCCCTTAAACGCATTGCCGTCGAGGTGTGCTGCGTGCGTGCGTGCGTGCGTGCGTGCGTGCGTGCGTGCGTGCGAGAGGTGGTACCTTGGGGTAGAGAATCTGTTCGATCTCCTCGCTGGTCATTTCCTCCATCTTCTTGGTGTCCGCCGGCTTCGGCTCTTCGGCAGCCGCGTGCATTTCCTCCTCGGCGTCGTACACACGCTGCGTTGTGAAGCGCACATGGGCGCAAAGGCCACACGAGTGCGAGGTGAGGCGCGTAGAGAGCGAGAGCGGGAGAGAAGCAGTGCAGTGCGTACGTTCTCGATGTACTGCGAGTTGGCGAGCAGGAGGAACTCGTTGAAGGTGTTGTGCAGCTTGACGTCGGCAGCCTTGGTGGCGGTGACCAGAGTGTCCACAGCGCCCTCCACCTCCTTCGTTTTGGCCACCAGGTTGCTCGAAAATTGCTTGAGGTAGTTGAACAGCTGCACCATCGAAGAGAGAACGTGAGGCAAGAGTTACAAATGAATTGGCCAATAATTATAATTTGAAATGATGAAGTGTTGCGTACGCCAGCATCGGCGGCGAGAGTCCAGTTGTTCTCATCTCGCAGCTCCTTGAGAGTCCAGGCCACCTCCCACCTCTTCAATTGGGGTCCACTCGGCGCAGCGGGGGCGGCACTCGATGAAGATGCGGCCGACTGAGTAGTAGCATCCGTTGGCTGCTGCTGGTAGTACGCAGAGCTGTCGTAGTGTTGCTCTCCGCCTCCATAGGCAGTTGTGTCGTACTGGCCGGATGCATCGTAATTGGTGTAGGCCGAGGCTCCATTATCGTAGCCCTGCTGGCTGTAATCGTACGCCTGTTGATCGTATCCATTGCCATAGTCGTAATTGCCGTATCCTCCACCATAGCCGGAATCGCCACCGTCCCCCATGTCGGGCGGCGGTGGGGGCAGAGCCCTGTCATCGCCCCCGTTGTAATCTTCACTTCCGTAGGGCACCACCGCCCCTTCGTTCTGATAATAGTCCATCATCGTTACTTCTCCCTCGCCCCTTAGGCTTGGGTTGGATCCTGACGATAGGGTTGATGATTTGATTTATGAAATCGGGATCAGAACTTCTCGCCTCTCTCTTTTTCGCTCGACTGTTCGGGTGGCGATCCTCACTTAAGGTGGCGCTTTGTATTAAGTGCATTATTAGCATTCTTGATACACCAGCGCAATGTGCAACAAGTAACAAGTTGTTGTTTGGCAGTGTTGTTGTTGCATGTCTACTGGGCAGGCTTGTCGGCTTGGTCCTCGGTGTCGACCCTGCTCTTCTTCTCGCCGGCGAGTTGCTCGCCTTCGGCGGCGGCCAGCAGGTGCAGGTTGTCCTCAATGTAGGTGCGGAGCTTCTCCAGGGCGCGCTTGCGGTGCGAGATCGTGTTCTTCGTGTCCTTGGGCATCTCAGCGTAACTGTCGCATTACAGCAAATGGTGTGTGTTGTGTGTTGTGTGTTGTGTGTTGTGTGTTGTGTGTTGTGTTGTGTGTTGTGTGTGTGTTGTGTGTGAGCATGCAACACAATATGGTACGTTCTTGTCAATAATCAAAGCAGCGCGTACGTTTGGTCGAAGCCGTCGGGAAGGAAAATGGGGTCCCAGCCGAAGTTGGTGGGGCCGCGGGCAGGCACGATCTTGCCCTTGAATGAACAAGAAGGCGAGAAGGTCAATCGAGGGCGGCATCGACCGAGTGACTGCACAGAGAGTAAAAAAAGGCGGAGATCGTACTTCGGTCCTGCCTTCGAACACAATAGGCTCCTGGCCGGGGCCAGCGCAGAAGGAGAAGGTGCACAGCGCGTAGGCCTAGGTACAAACAAAATCATCAACATCGTCACGATCAGCACATTGTTCCCAATTGGTGATAAATAGAAACAAAAGTTGAATCATATGAAGAATGCTGCGTACGCTCTTGTCCTCGAAGCCGGCAAGCATCTGGTTCAAGCCCTCATGGCCGAGCTTGTCCAAGAACCACTTACTGATTGATTGCACAAACCACAACAACCAACATGAAGAGGAGTGAGAACAGCACAGGGCATGTAGCGACTCTTGGCGTGGTCGTGTGTACATGTAGGGTCCGGGGAGGCCCTTGAGCCCGTTGAAGCAAAGGCACGTGTCCTCCACGATCACAGGTCCTTGCACCTGAATATAGAGTTTTAAAAAACACTTAAAAACAAATTATAATAAAAAATAGAAAGAAAGACTACATACGTCAACGACGGCGAGCTTGCACTTCTCCTTGGAGATCTCCTCAGGCTCACCCTGAAGCTCAGGCACTGCGAAGGAGGGTCAAGTTGGAGATTTGTCAAGCGTTCAAATTTAATTGGATAAGTACGAATTAGTAAATCGTACGATCGATGGCCTTGGACGTGAGAGGAATAGAATCGCCCAAGATTGCCTTCACCTCCGCCAGCTTGTTCGCGTTGCCCGTCACAAAGGTGAGCGGCCGCACAGCACCACCAGAACGCTTCATCTTCACGTAACCAAAGAAAACACGAAACAAAAAGCCAAAAATAAACGCAAAAGAAAACAATCTTTTTTTATATTTTATCTGCCGGTACCTGACAAGCCCCCAGAATGCTGTCGGTGCATGTGGGACAGACTGGCCTGAATGTGGGCACTGCCGTATGGGAGCAGTACTGCCCCTCACTACATTCTTTCTGCCTTTTTTTTTCAATCTAGAATATATTATTTTATTTATTAATTGGGGGGGGGGGTTGCAGGTATGGCAGGGAGCACGGGATTGACCCGAGCGATGGGCGCCTCGTGGTGGACGATGGGTCCCACGCACCTCCGCCGGCCTACTATCACGAGACGGAGAAGGGGTGCTACAGGCCTCGGTACTCGCACCACTTTTGTAGCGGCGGGTGCGCCAATGGCACACACACTCATTGCGTGATCACGATGATGACGACGACGATGCTTGGTGCCTCCCAGGTGCTTGTTCTTTGACGCCGACACGGACTCAGTTAATGCGATCCAACGGTCCGACGCCGGCACCATGTTCGATGAGTCCTCGTTCATGTACGCCCACGCCGGTTCGTTTCACATCCCTTCTTCGCCTTCTTCTCCAGCGGTGCCTGAGGGGCTCAGGCAAGAATAACTGGTCATTTGTGTTCCTCCAAACCACCAACCACCACCACCAACCACAGACAACGCTGGTATATATTCGCGAGCCGTTTACACCAACGGCACCGAGCACAAGGAGGCAGTCTTGGAGCGCCTCCGAAAGCTGCAGGAACAGTGCGATTCTGTGCAGGCACGTGTCTCCAAACCCCAGCCCCTGTGACGATCGGCGTTGAATAGTCTTACACCAACCAACACCAACACCATCACCGACCACCGCGCACACCGCCACCACCAGGGGCTGCTGCTCTATCGCTCAGTGGGAGGCGCGACTGGTGCTGGCTTATGTGAGCGCCTCTTGCACGACACTCTTCCTCGTGTGATCGACTTCTGCATCCTGCCATTCCTCGAGGTGGGTTTAAAGCTTGCTCACTCCCCATTGGCCAACTTAGTTAACTATACCCCCAACCACTCCCCGACCAATGGCGTCGCGTGCGCGCGGCTCATATAATCGTTCCCGCCCGCATACACACAGAGCCCGAATTCGATCTTAGAGCCTTATAACGTGGTACTGGGCCTTGGATCGCGCCCGTCCCTGTCCTTCGTGTTCGGGAATGATGCCTTGGGTAAGGTGAGTGAACGACCACCCCACCCACCCACCCACCCACCTACCGCATTCACCAACCACCACCAACAGATGTGCCAAGATCAGCGTCACGATGGCTTGCGCCCAACATTTCGAGATATCAACAAGCTGGTCGCACGAACCATATCGTGCCTTACCGCCCCGACGAGATTTGGAAGGTCCTTTCCCTTTCTGACACACACACACACACACACACACACACACACACACACACACACACACACACACACTACACACACACACACACTACAACACACACACACACAGCCCAACGCTGTCGCTCACGATTCAGCACTATAGCCAAGGGCTTGACGTGTTGGACCCACAGCACTTGGTGCCCCACGCCGACCTGCCTTTCGTGTCATGCTACCATGCTCCGCCTAGCACAAGGTAGTTTCTCATCATTCGTCCGTCATCATCGTTGCTGGCGCTAAAGGTCAAGACATTGCGCTCTGTCGCCAATCAACAACGCCGACCGAGGGTAGTGGGCCAACTGCGGTCGCAGAGATGACGGCATCGTTGTTCGATACCGGTCACTCGTCGCTTCTACCACCAGAGGGCGGCGCCGAGCAAGAGATCAAGTTGATGGCCTTGTGCCTTCTCTATCGCGGCCGGAACATGGCTATCGAGTACATTCCTCAGTTTATTGTCCTTCGCGCTGTGTGTGTGTCGCTTACGCCTTCCTCAGCGAGGTGCGCGTGGCGGTGGAGCGGCTAAAGTCCGATTCGCGGCTGACGTGGGCCGATGGCTCCAACAAGTTCGCATGCAGCGTGCTGGATCAGGACCACGAGACGGTACTGTCTGGCCCGAGCCGCAAGGCCACCCTGGGCGATCGTGTCTGTGGGAAGAAGCACATAACTGACCCTCCTCCTCCTCTTGGCTTTGCAGTCGTGTGTCGCCGTTGCCAACTCGAGTCTGTTCGTCAGCTACCTGACGAAGCTGTTGGCCAAATTCAAGTTCTTGTGGAACCCTCGAGCCTACACGTCGCGGATCGTTGGCGAGGGTAAAACTCTGCTTGCTTTTTGGTCGTACACAGACATCGCTGTCTCTCTCTCACCGATGTCTCCACCAACATCATCATCAGGTATGTCGTCGCGCGAGATTAATGAAGCGCTGTACAACGTCGAACAGCTGGTCGAGAACTACTCGTCCTGCGACCCACCCAAACCCTGGCCGCGCCGGTGAGTCGCCCACCCACCACGGAAATGTTGCATTGCATTTTATTTATTTTATTTATTTTTGACTAAAAAAGGCATAGTGTCGCTTCGCCACGTGCTCAAAGAAAAGAAAAGACGAAACAAAGCAAAAATTATACGGAGGAGGAACAGGTAGAGAAGAGTCGGTGGATGGAGAGAGCTACCTAAGACAGACATAACGAAAAAGATAAAATAGAAGAGGTGAAACTTTGAAAAACTGTTTATTATTTATTCGATTAAGATGACTTTGTGGTCGGCCGCTTTGCCGCTGAGCCCGCGCGGCGGGTCTGTAACGCCGCTGAACCCGCACCACGGCGCCGTCCAGCCGGACGGCGGCCTGGGGCTCGAGCTGCTGCAGCCGCTCCGCTCGCCCCGGGCCAGGTACCCTGCGTCGCCGCCGGTCGACCGCTCGCAGTGGAAGAAGCTGGCCTACGAGCGCAACCCGTACATCCAGGAGCTCAGCGAGCGGCTATTCCCCCTACAGCGGGCCGCCAAGCTCGTGGAGCTCAACCAGCAGCCGCCCGCCCCCGCCAGCGTGGCCGACATCCGGAAGTGTTGCCGGCTGCTGGCCATGCAGGCCTTCGCCTACTACGGCTACAGCGAGTCCCTCGACAACATGCAACGCGAGAGCGGCCTGCGCTGTACGTGCTACCTTCATTTCAATGTGAGCACACGCACACGCGCACTCACCACCACTCATGCATTGATATCAGACGAAGAGCCGCACGTGAATCAGTGCATGCTGCGACACTACCTGTCGCAGGCCATCCAGCGCATGGAGAGGGTCTACGACCTCTTTCTCGGTACTGCTTTCTCGGGATCAGCAGGCAGAAGTGTTTCAACGCTGATACAGCGTCTCACCAAACTCTTTTTTTGCAGATCCCGACGGAGACGACAGTGAGGAGGCGCTGGAAGAGCACTTGACCAAGGTCGGCTGGAAGGACGGCGATGCAGGTACGCACACGCACACGCACACGCACACGCACACGCACACGCACACGCGACCACTGCTTACTGTGTCGGGGGAAAAGACGTGAACATATGGGATGAACCGGCGGAGGGCAATATCGTTCGGGACGCCAAGACGGGAGCCATCAGGGCCGGCACACTGAATCAACTTGTGGCCAATCTCGCCTCACAGCAACGAATGGGTACCAGGATTCGCCCACCCTCTGTTTTTGTGGAATTGCTCACACGACGCACGCCACACACACGGGTGATGAATGCAGACCACACGTACGTGGACTCGTTTCTAATGACCTACAAGACGTTCACTACTCCGCATATGTTGCTGGAGAAGCTCCTACAGCGATATACCGTGCCCGTCGAGCACGAGCCGGACGTAAGGTGTGTATTGTTCTTCCTTGCCGCCTGCCTCCAGTTTCCTCTTACTCATACATACATCTGTCCGCACACGCATACACGCACCGCACACACAGGAGCACGATCCAACTCTACACGGTGAACGTGCTGAAAAAATGGCTGCAGCTGTACCGAGCCGACTTTGACAAGGACATGCTGGATCGTCTGGCCGAACTGTGTCAATACACGGTACGCGCTCATTTTTAATGAGAAAATTATATTGATATCTGTGATATACTTATAAGGTACTCGTCCTCATCTGGGCGCGTGCGGCCGCACAGACGACGACGATGGGACCCAGCGACGACGGAGGTCAGCTGAAGGTGCTACGAACATTTTTGAAGCTGAAGCAACCGACTGCGGCGCAGCCGGGTACGGCTTCCACCTCCAGCCGGCCGGTCGAGCAGCCGATCATCAACATCAAGACCATCTTCTTGGCGCGCCTGGAGTGGGAGGACATCGACGACCTGGAGCTGGCCCGACAGCTCACCCTGTTGGACTTTGAGATCTACCAACGGATACAAGTACGCGCGCACGTTTCCTGCACTTCTTTTTGTGGTGTGTCTGTGCCATTCTTTTCTTGGCTCATCTTGCTTGTTTAGCCACTTGAACTACAATCACCAGGGAAGCACGACCCGAACGTACTACGATTAACCTACCAATTCAACCAGGTGAACATTCAACACTTTTGTCGTAAATTACATATAAATTTGTATTGAAATTTGTATGTTGTATTTGTGATATTAATTTATTTTAATACAGATCAGTCATTGGGTGATGATGATGGTTCTCGCACGGGGGAAGGCAGTGAATGCCCCGGCGAAGAGGGATCGCGGCTACACCACACTGACGGCGAGTGGCGATCAGGCCAAGGTGAGGTCGACGATCAAGGTGCGGGTCGCGATCATCACCAAGCTGCTCAACATCGTCAAGCACCTCCGGTCGTTCCACAATCTCCACACCCTCAACGGCATCTGGGCCGGCCTCGAACAGGCCTCGGTGTATCGGTTGGAGCACACCTGGACATCGCTACACGATGACGCCACCAAGGTACACGCACGCGCACACACGTAAACACACACGCACACGCTCTCGTGCCTCACATGTGAGCGAACACACGTTGCAGATTCGTGCGCATACGAGGCAGTTGATGGACACGAGCGGCCAGTATGCGGCTCAGAAGAGCGAGATCAAGAAGGCGTGGGCTACCGGCGGCTCCTGCCTCCCACCATTGTGCGTTGTTTGACCCCCAACTTTCGCGACCTCTCCGTCCATGCTGATCGTGTATCGTTATGTGTCGTGTGTCGTGCGTGTCGTGCGTGTCGCGTGTGTCGTGTGTGTCGTGCGTGTTTGGTGTGGCTCGTAGGCATCTTGTCTTGAACGAGTCCGCGTCGGACAAGGAGAAGATCTCGCAGGCGTGGCCGCCCAACTTCATCGATTTCGAGAGGCGGAAGGCGACCTACGAGACTATCAGCGAATTCCTGAAATACCAGCAGCGAGCCTACAATTTCCACCCAGGTAGGGCCGACACTGCACGCAACACGACACACACGACACGACGCACGACACACAATGCCCAATGCACAATACAGGACATAACGACAACATTTGTGGTGCAGTCCCACAGATTCAGGCGGTATTGCGCAAGCACCTGGATCGAATCGACGAGTGGCTAAAGGACATGGGCGACAAGATGACGACGAAGAGGAAGTGGGAGGTTCTCGAAGATCGCCTCATGGCCATGTCGCGCCGCATCGAACCCAAAGGCGCCCCAAGATCAGCCATCGCCTAGGCGAATGGAACCATCACTACCAGAAAATAGATGTTCTTTATTATTATTATGATAATCTATTTGTTGAGTATATTTGGGTATATTGACTGTGTCACAGGCTTGTATGGCCAACAGACACACTTGTTTGGTGTATTCTCTTTTTACCTGAATTATGATAAATAAAATAACAAAAGATATCATTTTCTCTCTGTAAGAAGATCAGATGGCGTCGAGGGCGGAGGGAGACGGATTTCAGGCAGGCTCAGGCAGGGGTGATGACGACGCTGAGGTGACTGTGCACGCTGCCGGCGAGGAAGATGATGAGGACTACGAGGAGGCCGGGGACTACATTAGCGAAAATGATCTAGATGAGGAGGATGAAGAGACCACGGCCTGGGCCTACTACTGCGGCGACTGGTTAGTCGTTGCCGCTACTTGGAGGTGCATCTCTCAATTCCTTTTGATTGCGATTTGTGTAGAACCACAAATTCGATCCCAGCAATCGATCAAGATGTAGGACGTGGTTGGTAGCTTGCTGATTGACGTGATGTGGTGCTTTCGCCGTCGCACACACACGCGCGCGCGACACGCAGTGCCTTCCCGCAGCTGTCGGTGCTCAGTCGTCGCTGGGCGGCTGGAACAGAGGCAGTGGAGGGGGCGGGCATGTCCTTTGGCTCCCTGTGGCGCTCCTACACCCGCACCGCCCGCACAGCTGGTGCGTGCGTCTCTTCGTGCAGAGCGCGTGTCGTGTGTCGAGTGTCGTGTGCGTGTGCCTCTTGGCTGATCGTGTGTCGTGTGTTGTGTGTCGTGTGTGAAGGAGGCTTTGGGCCATCGCGAGTTTGGCATTCGGTGGTGGGCGAGGCGATGCGTAATGCCACCTTCCTTCTTCCCATCTACGAGCGAATCGTCGGACCTGTCCTCCCGCCCGAGGTAGTCGTCGCTTCTAGCGCACACGCACCACCGCACACGCACCGCCGCACACGCACAAGCCTGGGCAAGGTGGCTAAAATGTGATGGGAACAGGTGGCCAACCGACCGTTCTGGCTTCGGTACGAGGTGAAGCGATTCGTGGAGACCACCATCGGCGCCGTGCTCTACCGGCCGTTCCGTCTAGTCCTCAACCGCCTGCAGGGCCAAGTGGTGCGACCCGCTGACCACGACTGCAGCTGCAAGGCCTCAATCTCGTTGCTTACGTCATGCGCGCCGTATGTCGTGTCGTGTCGTGTGTGTCGTGTCGTGTCGTGTCGTGTCGTGTCGTGTCGTGTCGTGTCGTGTCGTGTCGTGTCGTGTCGCTTCGTATGTGGTCAGCCATTGCCAGGAGGCGGGTACCGGTACACGGGACTGTTCCAGGGGCTTCACGTGGCATGGAAACAGGAGGGATGGGGCCTGTTCACGCGCAACCTCCCGCTCGAGGTGTTGAGCAACGTCATCTACAACTTTTCTCAGGACGCCATCTTCTCCAGCGGGTACGTCGCGTATTGCGCGTGTACCGCGTCGTGTGTTGTGTCGTGTGTTGTGCCGTGTGTCGTGTGCTGAGTGCGATGATGGGTGCGTGCTTCCCTCTTTTAGGATTGCCTCGCGCCTGCACCGGTTCCTGCCCAGCAGCGAGCACGAGTTGGTGCAGTACGTGCGATCATGGGCGCTGGAGGTGGTGGAGAACATCGTCTGTATGAACGCCAGCTATCTCCTCACATGGCCGCTCCACGTTGTCGCCTGCCGCATGGACACAGAAGGTATACCCAAAATATTTCTTAATATATACATATATCATGTATTAATTGCTTGTTGGCTTCTTTTTATTCCGTTGATATGTTGTCTATCTGCTATATTTGACTTATATATTTGGCTTGTTATGTGGTGCTATGCAGAGTTCGGAACAGTCAAGTACGCCGGCGCGCTCGACTGCGCGCGGCACGTGTTCCAAAACGACGGCGTTTCCGGGTTTTACAAGGTACAGCACGACACACACACACACACACACGACGCACGCGCTAACGTTGACCGAAAAGGGCTGTCTTCCCGAGATGCTGCGCGCGAGTCTCTCCGAGCTGGTCTTCAGCGGGTCTGTGGCCGCCCTCCTGGGTTCGCTGTTCGGCTTCGCATGGCGGACGGGGGCCTTTGACGAAGAGGAAGAGGACGAGGAGGACTACGACAACCGCGAGCTCGAGTGGCACGGGGCCTCCGACGAAGAAAACCCGGGCCTGCCCGACCAAGACGACCAACAACACCAGCAGCAGCAGGACACCGACATCGACGCACTCGACTGACACGAGTGTGTGTGTGTGTGGTGCGGCGGACACTGCATCATTGTATTGTTTTGGCGGCCAGCCGTTGCACCACACCAGCGCTGCCTCCGCGCTAGTGGAGGAACGAGAAGACGTGGATGGTCCTGCCGGTGTTGGCGACAAAGACCCGGTCGCCGACCACCGCGACGGCCACCGGGCTCCGAATCAGCTGGAGACTGGCCTCGGCGCCGCCGCCCACCACCAGGGGCGCGCCGCCGTCCGAGTGGAAGACCAGCACGCGGCTGTGCTGCTGCTCGGTCACGAACACGTTGCCCTTGGCGTCGATGGTGAGGCCGGCCGGATCGGAGTGGCCCTCGCCCAGGTGGAAGGAGCCCTCGAGCTCGCCCTCGGGCGTGAAGATGAGTACGCGGGCGTTGTCAGGGTCGGCGGCGTAGATGTTGCCCGTGACCGGGTGCACCGCGATGCCGCTCAGGCCGCGCACCGCAGCCCTCTTCTTCTTCGTCTTCTCCTTCTTCTTCTCGGTCTCCTCCAGTTCGTTGTTGGGCTGCAACGGGGTTGGCCTGGCGATGGTCCGTACCAAGGCGCCCGTCGAGGCGTCGAAGACGGCGATGTCCATGCGGTGGCTCTGGGTCACGTAGACCATGCCGTCGGCACCCACCGCCATGCTCACGGGGTCGACCAGCGGGCCGCTGGGCGTCGAGGGTTGGTGGCCCGTCGTCGACGTTGGGGCCGGGGTCAGGCAGACAACGTGGTTGGACTCAGAAGTCTTCACCATGACCTGGCCCAGGTCCTCGTCGGCGAACAACAGGCGGCCAGTCTGCCAATCGGCCGCAAACAGGTGAGCGGGCTCAAGCAGGCTCCTGTAGTACAGGTCCTGCTCCGTGATCAGCTGGCCCGCGCTGTTCCAGGTGACCAGGCAGGCTCCGTAGGCGACGCTCTTGTTCTTCCGGCACAGTACGGCCACGTTGCCCTCTCTGGTGGCGGCGATGCCCCGTATCTCCAGGTCTGTCCCGACGACCAAGTTGAACAGGGGACGGCCCTGCACGTCGGCCAGGTGCACATTCAGGCGGGCCAGCTTGGCCAGCGCGACGTTGGCCTCGCGCGTGGCGGCGTTCACCAGTTCCGTGCGGTCCAGGTCCTTGTACTGGGCGGCGTTGGCCTGGAACTGGGCGTCGACCTGACCCACGGCCGTCTGGATGAGCTCGTAGTTGGTCAGGTACTGCCTCAGCTGGGCCAGGGCAAAGTCGCCCTCGAACGCGTGGTACTGCTCGGCCAAGACGACCAGCTTCTCGTTGAGGAGCTCGAGCTCCGCAAAGGTGTGGCAGCGCGAGTAGTCGACCTTGTCCTTGAAGGTGTCGCGCACGGCCACCAGCTCGCCGTCCCACCTCCACCACTCGACAAACGCGCGCTGGGAGGCGGTATGGTCCACCACCAGCTGGGTCCTGTCCTGGAGCCTGGCCTGGAAGGAGAGAACGGAGAGCTCACCCCTGATGCGTTGAATGATCTCCTTGTTGATGGTAGCGATGGCCTTGATTTTCTCGAACAACTGATCCACTTCTTCCATCTCGAGGCCTCCTTCAGGTATGGTCTCCCTCTTCTCCAGTTTTGGTTGGTTTGTTTTTTGTGCGTTCTGGCTAGCGGGGGTCGATTTCAAGAGGACAAGGCCAGGAATTCAGGTTTTAGGAATCCGAGTCAGGCAGAAATTCCTGGTTGCCATGGAATGCGGCATAAATTCCAAAATTACCTGGCTTTACTTCCGTTTATTTGTGAAAAGAGGGCGGGACGAAGGCGAAGAAGAGTTCTCTCTCTCGCTAGAGGTAGAGCGAGACGGCGAAGACGATGTCCCTCTTGATCTTGTTGATGCCCTCCGCGAACTTGGCCTCGAGCTCGGTGTTGCCGATGGCCTTGGACGCCGAACACAACTGCCGCAGCAACTCCTCCAGGCGCCTCATCGTACGGATGATGCTTCCTGCAATCCCACTGCATTAGCTACCGTGCATCGTGTCGTGTCGTGTCGTTGGCCGTGTCGTTGGTCGTGTCGTTGGCCGTGTCGTTGGTCGTGTCGTGCGGTGTAGGGAGGGGGGAGGATATACCCTCAAAGATGTTGGTCATCTTGCAGATATCGGCGAACTTGGCACCCTTGCACCAGGCGTAGACGATGTCCATCATGTGTGGCTTGAACTTTTCGACGTAGTCCTCGACCTCCATCGGGAGCTTGCACTCCTGCGAGATCGTAGCGATCTTACGCGCGGCGTCCTGCAGCGACCGCAGCGGGCCGGCCAGTTCGTCGGCGAGTCGCTGGGCCGACTCCGACTTCTCCTCGAACACGAAGCAGCTCATCAACGACACGATTTGCTCCACTGCAAGACACGGCACCGCCACACGGTGAGCCGGCAAATCGTTGAAGAAGACGACGACGAAGGTGGTCGTAGTGGTGATGGTGGTACCATTGAGGTCGTTCAACACGCCCGTGAAAATGAGCTCCGTGAGCACGAGCTCGTCGGCGGAGCTGATCTCGCACGCCACACGTCCCTTTACCTCGATGATGTTGTCTGTGACACGCAAAACGCAAAAGGTCAGCGCCAATGGACTCTTGCGGGAGTGGGGCGCCGAAGCGGAAAGAAAGAAGCGTATTACCCTTGTTGGTGAGGCCCAGCCGCCGCAGCACGCGCTTCATGCACTTGAGCTGGTCCTTGAGCACGATGCCCTCCGAGCTCTTGATCTGCTTCCTCAACAGCTTGATCTCGTTCTCCGCGTCCTACCAGGAAATAGGAGAAGTATGAGACAGAGGGAGAAGAGAGGGGGAAGACATGCGGAAAGCGGGGCGCAAACCATCTTCTTCACGTAGAGAGCGTAGCGCTGCTCCAAGGACGGCTCCTTGAAGGCGGGGTTGCTGTTGAGTCGGTCCTCCAACATCTCGATTTTCTGTAGACGTACAAAGGAGAAGGTGATGTTGAGCGAACATGACGCCTGGGTCATAGATACGATGGCGGTCTGGTAGTACCCTGATGATCTTCTTGAAGTTGTCGTCCTCGATATGCATGTCCTCGATCGGGTCGAGCAGGGGCACGCCGTCATTGAATCGCTTGTGCACCTCGGCCAGCGTCTTGCCCACGCTCTTCCTCGCATCGGGCGTGCGCAGGTCCTTGGGCACGTAGACGCGGACCGAGCTGATGCCGTCGATCAACGGCAGCAGCACGGGCACCACCTCGATCTGACCCTCTGTAGGTGCGCGACATGTGGGCGGTCAGCTGAAATGCAACCATTGGCGATGTGGCCGGGACAGGACAATAATTTACCTTGGCCGGGCGGGCAGGGCTTGGGCGTGAAGAGCTTTTGGTTGGTATCGGCGGGCGCGCACTTGAGGAGCACGTCGACGATGTAGTGCCCCCCGCTACCCATGCCTCGGTCATCGTGACCCGCCTTTTTCTGTTGATTGAAAAGCCCACGTGAGCACAGTCGTCATCTCTCTCGCCAACCGTGTGCGGTGGCGTACCTGGAAGTTGACCACGACGCCCCAGCCCCATTCGTTCTTGCCCTCGGTGACACGGACGAGACGACCGGGCTGGAGGAAGGGGAGGCAGTAGATGGGCTGGTTCATTGTGTCCGTGAACACTCGCTTGAGCTTCTGCAGCTGCTCTCGCAACAGGTAGTACTCCTCCACGATTTCCTCGCCCTGCACAGCCATTTCCCGCTTGACCTTCTCCTCCAGGTCGAGCAGCTTCTTTTCCTTCATGGGAAGCGACCTATCAACATAACAGTCAGTACATGACCACACACACACACAACACGGGAACGCTTACTTGTCGCTCTGGAACTGATGGAAGGACTTCTTGATGAGGTATTCGGGGTCGACGCCCTCCACGCGCAGCAGATTGAGAAGCATGTTGTAGCCCAGGTGGAAGCTGGAGTTCAGAGCGTCGGCCTTGCCCATCAACATGCCCTTGGCTGCATGCAAGGAAGGTGTGAATGAGTGCAAAGCCTAGACCAGACGACAGCGACTCGAGAGCTGCAGCGAGGATTAGCGAAGGACAAGACGTGGTACCAGTTTGGGGTTCCATCTTTTCATCGACCATCATGATGACAATACCCCTGTCGTCGAGACCTCGTCGACCGGCACGACCTGACATCTAGATCAAGGATTTGCGAATAGAGCAGACACGTAAGCATTTCCTAAAGAGGGTAATCGAGGGCGAGAAGAAACGGGAAGTGGTGAGGGCTGTGAGTGGGGTATTCGTATATACCTGAATGTATTCGCCCGAGGAGATGACACGGAACTGCGAGCCGTCGAACTTGCGCACGTTGGTGAACACGACCGTCTTGGCAGGCATGTTCAAACCCATGGCGAACGTCTCCGTGGCAAACAGACACTGCCGTGGCACAACACAAAAGAGGGAGTTGTTGAGGCACAAATTGAATGGAAGTGACAATCGATGTCCGCGGAGGCGCACCTTGAGCAGTCCCTCCTGGAACAGAATCTCGATGACCTCCTTCAAGATGGGCAGAAGACCACCGTGATGGATGCCGATACCGCGCTTGAGCAAAGGCAGAATGTGCTCCACCTGCGGCAGTTTCTTGTCGTCATCGGACAGCGAGTCGATGGCATTGAAGAAGACTGGTGTGATACGAACGCTGCGTAAGCAAGAGACCATTGCACACGCACACGCACACGCACACACGGATTGAGACCGTATTGCTACATACCTGACTCGACCAGCTTCTTTTCGTCGTCGGTGTTGAGGTCGAGCTTGCTCATCTGCAGCGCCATGCCCTCGCAGTCCTTCTTACTGAAACTGAAGACGATGACCGGCTGATAGTTGCGCTCCATGATCATCTTCACGATCTTGTAGCAGTCCGAACCAGTGTTCCTCCTGTTACCACCGCGGCTCCCGTCGCGATGACCCTTGCCGCCGCCAGCTCGACCGCCTCCTCTCTGGCCGGACGACGTGGCTTCGCCCGCAGCCAGCACCGCTATGGTAATATGTACACAGATGGTTTCGAGGTGAGCGGCGGCATTGACAAGACAGACACGAGCGAAAGCGTGAGGGTGGTACCGAGAGCCTTCTGGAAGTTGTCCTCTCTGAAGGTCGACTTCTCATCAACGACGAGGAAGAGGCCGTCTCCGCCAGCAGGGAAGATGTAGTGCTGGAGCGGAGTGGGACGGTAATCGGTGTAGACGACGTGACACGGCTGGTGATGCAGCGAGGCGATCCAGTCCGTGAACTCGATGGCGTTGGGCAGCGTCGCCGACAAGAACACATACCGCACCTGCAGCACCCGCACGCACGAGCATCATGGTGCCACACAGTGTGGTGTGAGCACTCGCGCAAGAGCAACACAGAGCGCTGAATTGTTCTGAATAAAAATGGAATACAAAGAAAAGAAAATGAAGAGCACCTTGTCAGGAAGAAGGATGAGGGTCTCTTCCCACACCACGCCACGCTCGAGATCGCGCATGTAGTGAATCTCGTCGAATACGACCCAGGCCACTTCGCGCATGACCTCGGAGCCGCGGTAGAGCATGTTACGGAGAATCTCGGTGGTCATCACGAGACAGCTGGCCGATGGGTTGATGGTGACGTCGCCCGTCATGAGGCCCACGTCCTTGAACTCCTCCAGAAGCTCGCGATACTTCTGGTTGGAAAGGGCCTTGATGGGCGATGTGTAGATGACTCGCTGCTTGTCGCGCAAGCCCATGGCGATGGCGTACTCGGCCACCACGGTCTTACCGGCCGACGTGTGGGCCGACACCAGCACGGAATCGCCGCGCTCGAGGCAGGCGATGGACAAGCGCTGGAAGGGATCGAGGGTGAAAGGGTACTTGCGGACGGGGTTGACAGGATCGGGAGGATTCATCAACTCTCGCATGCCCTCCTCACCGCCTGGAACCTCGAAGCCGACCGGGATCGACACCTCGTGCTTGCATGCAACGTAGGATCGCAGATTTGGGTCAGCCTGCTCCTTCGATGGTTGCTCTTCGCGTTTATCATTCTTAATTTGCTTGTCCATCTCCATCTCCTTTTTCAAAATTTGCGTTGCTCGCTCATCTTCGGCCTCTTCCTCCATTCGCTCCTTCTCCCGTACGTTCGTGCTTTGCTGATGGCTCTCATCAATCCGCGGCCGCTTCGCAGGGCTCTGCTGGACTGGGCTCGAATCAGCCGCAGCGGCATGGCTTGCCGCGGTCGCCTGCCTCTTGCCGGAGGAGGTCTGGAAGACGTCGAATGCGCCAGGCTCGCCGAATAGATCCATATCTCCTTCCTCTACTATCTAACGAGCAAGTAGACTTGAGATGCTGATTTGAAGATGGCGCTATCCGAGATGCAGACGCGGAAAGAAACACGAACAAAAGCAATTTCCCGCTTTTTTCTTGGCACGCAAGGAACGCAACGTCGTTGAATTCTTTCGGTCTTGCTCGGCCAAACGAGAGGTGTACGCTCGACATCCTGACGCCTTTCCGCCCTGGCCTTGCTGAAAGCCATCAATCAAGCCTTGCTACACGTGATGGTCTTTCTGCAAGCACTTCTTGAACTTCACTTCAACACTTTGCTAAACACATAGACCCTCTTCTCCTTGAAAGAACACCATGTACGGAACAGGTACACCACCATCGCCTTCACGCACAGGTGGCTTGTGACCTGAACAACTCTACCGTCTACAGGTTATGGAAGCTATCCACCTGGCCCTCCGCCGCCTGGGTCGATAGGACTAGGCCCAGGCCCTGGCTTGGCGCCAGGACCCTTCCCCCCACTCGGCATGCCGGGGCACCCACCCGGCACACCCTACGGCGCCCCGTTGCCTCCCATGGGAATGCCTTACCCAGGCGCGCCGCCGCTGCCGCCGTACGCGGGAGGTCCGCCTGGCATGATGCCACCAGCGCCAGGCTACATGGGCGGCTACGGCTGTCCGCCTCTAACAGGTCCTCCCGGCACCGCTGGCAGCGTCCCTGTCGTACCACCCTACGCGTCAGGCGCTCCCTACCCCGCACCAGGTGTCCCCTACCCCGCGCCAGGTGTACCCTACCCGCCCTATCGAGTGTAAGCGCTGGTTGCTTCGAGCTGGTCGGCTTCGAAGCTTCGAGTCAGCCTTCGTCCACACCATTGGCGCAAAGGTGAATGTTACGGCACGCTTCCTGAGCGGAGTGTTTTATAAAGGGGCGACGCGTAGGACTTTCTCATAAAACACTTTACCCACCCCGCCACACACAACTTTTTGCTGGCTGTTGCGTATCCGTAGATGTACGGAGGAGGTACGATAGAGCCACCCCCTACCAACCCACCCTATTTTATATTTCTATATTTCTATATTCTTAATCTTTACACGCTCTACCCCTCTCTTATTAATAACAGGCTATGGAGGTTATGGAGGCTATCCCCCTGCGGGTGCACCGCCCATGTCTGCGCCACCCCCTGGCACCGCAGGTGCGATGAGCGTGGCCCCGCCCTCGGTGTCGGGCGGCCCCTACGGTGGCGGCGGACCTGGTCTGGGCATGCCGCCTGGTGGCTACGGCGGGTATGGTGCGCCACCTTCCCTGGGCATGCCGCCTGGTGGCTACGGCGCGCCCCCGCCCATGGGCTACCCAGGTGCGCCCCCGCCCTCGCTGGGCATGCCGTCACCCTACGGCGCGCCACCGATGATGGGCTACCCAAGCGCACCTGCCTACGGAGCGCCGCCACCGATGGGGAGCTACATGGGCGGTGGCGGTCCGCCTCTGTCCATGTCGGCCCCGCCGCCTGGTACGGCCGGCAGCGTGCAGGTGGCGCCGCCCAAGACGTCCTACCCCGCTCCGCCCTACATGATGTGAAGCACGACCCGCACACGCACCGGGACCACCTGAGCAAAGAAACCAAGACCGGCTCATAGCGTGGACAGCCATCTAACTCTTGAACTCTTGTAAATACACACTCACTCATGCACGCAATCATCGAAAGAAGGAGAAGGGGTATGGAAGGTTACGATGACGACGAAGAGGAAGACGTAGCTACGGATGCAAGCTCCTCGCGCAGGCGTCGCTCCACGAAGATCTGCATCTCCTGCGAGTAGTCGCTGAGGCTGCAGCTCACAAAAAACATTCGTCCGGTCCTCTTGCCTACGTGCAAGGGTGTGAGAGAGAGAGC